GTCCGAGCAGAAAACAGACCTGTTCTGTAAAGTCATGTCTCAGAACGAGGAATATAAATCTCAATCCTTAGAAACCTTTGGCTGCAGCTTTAAGCAGATGTTACTCATGACTAATGGTTCACACACAGCCTACATGTCCATGAAGGCCACGCGAGGGTTGACTTATTACAAAGTTGACATAATTTTTCGACTTGGTTACTAGTTGGCTTTTTGAAAACAGAGCAAAGGTTACTGGCACAAATTCACCAAATAAAAAGCAGATCAGACATGAAACCATTTAAAAGCAGCTGTCACAAGTCTCTGGCAGATGCTGTGGTTTTTAATGAAAATCTTTTTTGGATAAAAGCTTCTCTGTTTGTGGCATTTTTAGGGAGATGCTTTTCATCTCGTACTATGACTCTTCCTCCAGTTGATAAGTGATGAAATACAAAATTTGACGTTTGGAGCTGTCTCTGTACTGAAGATGAAATTAAGTATAATGTGTTTCAGGTTGAACAATACAGTGTTGATAAGAGCAGCTGGAGCTGACCAATGAAACAGCTGAGCGTTTTAAGTCACACCCAGTCACTCCTGTTGTTCAACCCCATCCTTCCACAGCCATGGTTTTTACTATGTACTGTAGTGTGCTCAGAATACCCTGACATGAACAAAGCAACATGACTGCAGAAGACAGGCATTTGCAAACAGTACTTTTGAATGTTGCTTTCTGTCACAATTACAGGTTGAACATTTACTGTGATTCCTGTTGCATTGCATTTGTGTTGTTATTTTGAGCATTTTGAGTTCAAAGAGTACGAAACCAACTTTTTGTTCTTTTTCCTACTTCCCAATGAGTATTTTCCGTAGCAGACAGCAGGGGTTTCTTGTGTAACAGCAAACTAATGTCTGACTACTGTGGAAAATTTTTGCATCACAAGTGACTCTGACCTGAGTCTATCTCATTCCTGGGAGCTCAGATAGTGAGTTCATACCTGTGGCTTTGTGCCCAGGTTTAGTCTTACGGGAAGGATGAGTAATTGGGTGGCGGAATGTTGTACAGTGTGTGTGTGTATGTGTGTGTGTGTGAGTGTGGAGGGGTAGGCACAAAAATGTGTAAACTTCTTTTCTTCTTTACTCCTAATTGACCACTGGAAAAGTGTCGGTCTGCTTTGCTCCAGATCATATCATCAAGTTCTGTTTCCTTCTTTTTTTTCTCCACAGTGTCTGAAGAATATTTGAGTACAACGTAATAAAAAACAGTTTCTGAGAAGAGTATTTTATTTACGCTCTTATTTACTCAGTCCTACACTGCTGCTGTGCTGGTGCTCCTCGGTGGTTGTTTTGAAGACGCCTGAAATAGTAATGAAAGATAAATTAGGATCAGTTTTTTGTTTTTTCTTTTTACGAGGGAACACATATTAACTAGTAACAAGCCTTTATGAGTCACTACAAAGCTGTAATGGTTTTATTCTGAGAGATTTCAATCACAAAAACATGGTCATGCAGAGCTTTATCTTTAGAAATTGTGTTTTACGATTGAATATATGAAAAACTCAATATGCTAATAATTAGCCTCTAAGCTACTACGTAATGAAAGAAAAATCCTTTACTCTAAAATGTCAATCAAAGTTAAATAAAGTTATTTTTACAGTAGTAGCACTGGCTTCACATGTTGAAGACAGAGACTTAAACACACTCAATACTAAAACTTTCCTCTTCCTGTTTTGAAATAAAGGGTTATCCAGGATTACCAGGAGGTCCAGGGGACATCGGTATGCAAGGGGCATCTGTGAGTATCCCCTTCATCCTCTTGACCCCTAATAAAGTATTAGGAAGGCTCTGTAATGGTTTGGAGCTGTATTTTAGTCCTCATCCCAGATAGATAAACGATTTTCAACCCCTACAGTAAATGTGGGACTTTATTTCAATCTTGGTGTATTATGTGAGCGTAAGTTCCTTTTTTAAAAAATCGTTCTCAGTTTTATGCATAGTTACCTAACCTTCAGTCTTTATTGTTCTTGTTCTCAGGGTCCACAGGGTCAGAGGGGCATTCCAGGTGTCGCTGGGCCAAAAGGAAGAAGGGTAAGAGCGGCCTTTTCCTGTTGAGTTTTCCTTTCCTCTATAAAGATTTTTACATTTCCACAGTCCATCACAAACACAAACTCAGTGAGTTTCATGAGGCTTAAAAAAACATCTGGGGTCAAATTTATGATGCAAGTTGTAATAACACGGGTGAGACACCGTGTGGCTTTGAGGAGAATGACACCTGCTAGTGACAGGTGATCTTTACTTAATCAATACATTTAATAACGATTTTCCTCTTTTCCATTTTTTCACATTTCAGTTCATGCTGTTATGTCGTTGTGAACTGACCTCGTTGGGAGATTAAACATTCCCGTTCAATCTGATTTAATCTGTCGTTCATTGAAGCTGCGTGATTTTGGTTCTGGTTTTGCAACAGAATGGGAGACCCACATCCTAATTTGGTTTACAGAGCACGGTATTTCCCCTGAAATTTATCACCCTCACCATCGGAGCTTCTTTCAAACCCCTTTGACGCGGTTTCCTCTAAGTGAAGAGTCAGTTCATATGGAGCGAATTACTGTCTCTGCTTGTTTTCTCGTGCTTTACAGTGAAAACAGATGATTTTTTGGGGGGGAAATGTCTTTGAGAAATGTCCCAAGTGAATATACGTAATATAAAGAACATAAAGCTGTAGCTGACGTCTTATTTGTACAGCCTCAAATAATTCAGTTAGTAGCGTTAGTTACTGTCTGACCCTAAACACAACACTCTACGCTTTGCATCTTCATCTTGTCTTCAGATTAAACAGTAAGAAATGGTCCCACAGAAATCTGTTATATTCAGTTTTAAGGCCAGGGATAGTGATACATAGATAATAAACACTGATCATCAACTGGGCCATGTGTGGCCTACAGAACTTTCCAATCCAGCCCGCGACTGGATTCCAAAGTAAACATGAAATATTTATGTTAGACAAATATCTGATTTGATTTGTCAAATTTTTAGGTGGTTCTTAACTTTTTCTTCACTTCCTATGTTCTATATGACTTTTTTTAAAAAGCGGAAATGCATTTAATTGCCTCACGGTGCTTTTATTTATTTAATTCATTGGTGTTATATTGAAATATAGTCTTGTGTTAACACTGAAGGGGCTCTGGGGTATAACGTATATGCTCCTCAATTAGTTTGAACATGAAAAATTTGAAAAAATGATATGCACTTGTTGCAGACTTTTAGAAACATCGTTAAGTGGCTTTGGTTACGTTGACGTTTGAACTGCATCGGCTTCTTCAGGCATTTACACACAGATCAGAGAAACTTAGAGGGATCTGAGAAGAATACGAGTCGGAGTCAAAGCCCGAGGCTTAGACAGACTTAGCAGTAATAGGGTCAGCAAAGGAAAAAGAATAAAGAGATGCAAACAACTGAGCTTTAAAGTGGAAAAAGTCCTTAAAATGTAGACGTAGAAGAAAAGGTGAAAGGTCGGGGGATGAACTGTATACACAGATCTTTATCAGTCGAGCGACCAGTGTTGACTGTGCTGGGAAGCCACTGGAATCTTTTAGATGTGGGGGCGACTGCAGCGTCAGGATGGAACCTCCATCCTCTACACACACAGTAAAGTCACATCAAAGCTCACATTGACTATTCTGTTTATAAACTGTTTTAGAACCTACAGGTGAGATCAGGTGTCGTTCTGTTGATGTTCACTTCTGTGTCTCATACTTTTTTTGCACAGGGGCCCATGGGACCTGACGGCCCACTGGGTGAACCAGGTCCAGAAGGTCCTAAGGTAAAGTCACACTCTACTCTTTGGAAAACCATGTAATGGATCTGTTAACTCAGTGGTTTCCAATATTTTTTCGCTCGTGACCGCATTTTGACATCACATGTTTTTTGCGACCCCTATAAAAAATAATTGCAGCCTTCAGATATTTTTATATTCTGCATTTTATATGAAGAATGCAGTTGTTCCAGATTTTGTTTAAATAATTTGTAAAAAGTATAATAGTTATTTGAAAATATATTTTTATCATTAACTTTTTAAGATAAATTACTAGACATTTTAAGCCGACGTCATTTGAATTCCAGATGACCCCACATGGGCTTGTGTCCCTAAGGTTGAAAAATGCTGCTTTAAAACATGAATGTTTTTTTTCCCCCTTTTTGTCGTGGTATTAATTCTGTAATTGAACCGTGTCACAGCTCATAAATAGCTTATTCAATTACCTCCTCTTTTAAATAGAAAATAAAAAAAAAACTAATTCTTGAATTCCTCTTCTTCCTTTGTTTTTGCAGGGAGAAAGAGGTGACATCGGACCGAAAGGAGAACCAGGATTTATCGTGAGTCGTTTCAATTAAAGTCTTTGTCTACGGCCCGCTCATGATACCGCACTGTAAACATTTTAACGTCAAACACATTCCAGGACAAACAGCTAATGCTCCGAGGGGAATAAGAAGGTTACTGTTAAACTGTATATACATCCTCTAATTTATATAAAACCAGAGGTGATGACTGTCGTAAGCACATCCTTCTCTACGCTGCATTATGTCAGGCAGCACGTGTATTATAAACACCTGAGAATTTAAAGATAAACACAGCGTGAACCCAAAGGCCTCTGTGACCTTTTATTGACAGAGGAGTTCTGTTGTCTCCTCGCCGCAGTATCAGGTCGTACACAGATATAATTACCATGTTACTCTGCCAGCGTTTTGTAATGTCTTCAGGACAAAAGTTAAATTTGTACCTGAAAGTCAAAAGAGAGCACAGACTGGTGGTTGAGGCGTCCAGGTTGTAACTGGAGGGCTGCTGGTTTTAATCCCAGCTCTTTGCACCAAATACAAACGTACAGGCCATTGTTCCTGTTTGTCATGTGGGGGGGGTTTCACAGATGAGTAAATGCAGAGAGTAATGTTTCTCAGGGCAGTGGTTCTCAACCTGGGGTTTCCATATCACATGAGAAACATGGGCTCGCTCTAGTGGTATGTGAGAGTCACTGCGTTGTTAATAACAGCTGTTAAATATTCCTTCTCGCTTGTTTGTTTTGTTGTACTAGTACTCCCTGCCGTGCTACTTCAGAGTACGTTGGTTGATGGGTTGTTGATGATGTGCCTTAACAAAGTACAGAAGCACTGGGTACTGAAATGAGCTTACCAATTTACCACTAAATGTTGAAAATTCTTTCATAAATTTCTTCATAAATCATATATTTTACTTTCCTAAATTATGATCCCATTTAGAGGAAAATAAATGATACTGAACTGTGCAGCTGTCCAGCCTGAGCTAGGTCACGAGTAACAAGGTCTGTGAACGTCACGTACAGTCAGGTGACTTAAACAGAGCAGCTCAGAAATGTGGGAGCATCTACTTTTATACACCTTCTGTCATCATGCTTTATCATCTATTTTGGTCTCAATAGGAAGAAGGTAATGCCAAAAAAATCAAATCATTACCTCCAGACTGTGTTTATTTGCTGCTGATCCATTTTTACTGTGTTTAGTGGTTAAAAAAAGAGAACATGTTACTAATGAACCAGGAATGTCGCTGGACTATGAGTTGAGTTTGGAATTTGATATTCAGCATAAAAGGAAGTCGGTGCACTTAGCATTCTGATTGGATAAATGTCCTCAAGCAATTTAATTTGCACACTTTCTCACCAAGGCATAAAAAACATCTGTTTGGTTTTTATGGAATACAAAAGGCACGGCCTAAAAATGTGAAACAAGTTGCCAAATCATGTTTGAAATGATTTTGAGATTTTACTGATTACCTTTAAAGCATTTCCAGATCCAAATCCCTTCTCCAGATTCATATTTAAGAATGAAACACAATCTGGTTGTTGTGACCAGATGCCACTCGTCTGTCCGAGGGTCTAAGGCTCTGAGACTCACTGAACCACTGACATCTTTCCATCCCTCCAAAAAAACTCTCTTTGTAACAGAGGCACAGAGGCTGTCAGTGTTTCACTCATAACCAGAGCCTTCTACTGCAGCTCCCAATGTAAACACAGCCAAGTGAAGAGCTGCTGTCTTCATTTACGGCTCGTTTGAACAACGACATCCGTTAGTGCATCGTCACATATGTTCATCCTGCTGTTTGACACCCCCCACTCCCCACTGTGTCTCTACCATAATTCAGCAGTGAATCAGACTAGGATTAATGGTCATGTGACCACCCCCTCCTCCTCCTTCTTCTTCTTCTTATAGCCACAGTGACACAAACACACATTGTTATTCTAAAACAAATTAGAACCCGCTTAAAATTGAACCACAGCAAAGCACAGGCCGTACGTTGATCATAAATTTGACGACGAAAGACGACGATTGAGCCGCTGTTGACACAGTTTCATGGTGTTGAATTATCATTTTCATGCACGGGCACTACTTTGTCCTCTGGGTGTTTTGTTTTCAGAAATCCGAAAAATAAAACCCTCAAGATCCAGGATTTCGAAGATTATATGTTGGATTTTTTTGTGATTCCAGACTTTTTAGTGATGGCCAGATTTAAAGGCCCAGAAGAAACAGGACGAAGAGATGATGAAAAGTGTATTGCTGATTAGAAGTATAAACATGTCTCTGAATTCCAGGGAAAGGCTGGCAGTCCTGGAGAGAGGGGCCCATCTGGGAAACCTGTGAGTACCGTTTCACCTTGTTTTTCCTGCTTTAATCCCTTTAACAACAAACACGGATACGGCTACAGACAGCGTGGGCTTGTAAACATCCTCCACATCCTCCTGTAGCCTGTAATATCTGTAATTATCAGAGTTACGGGTTAACAGTCTGCTCCTCTGAGGAGGAAGTTGTCGCGTATTAAAAAGACAAATGCCAGTGTCGTCCGCAGCCGACGAGAACACGTGTAGTGTCTTTTTGCTTCTGCTGTTTGTGGTCTGTGGTCACATGACCGTGTCATGGTTTACAGCTGTGGCGCTCATATCACAGCAACAATAGCAGTAACTGGGTTTCATTTCCTGTATTGATTTGATGCAGTTAATTCATTTGATTTTGAGAAGGAAAAATTAAACAAATTAGTTTTGAATCCTAACAAATGGGAACTTTAAACTCTATTTTGCTTCAGTGCAATTTTTATTATTTGCCAAGAGTTTTTCCTTGCTTAAAAAAATCATAACGGTGCCCTCTAGTGGACGATAAAGCAGATCATTGTGAACATCTGTGAGGTTTTTATACCTTATTTTCCATCGTTTCTTCTCCACTGATATTTGTGCCAACATCAGGATAAACATCCAGCCAAAAACAGCCAGCAACATCCGCTGCCTGGTCCAATTTCAGGCTCCGACTCGCACAAGCCCTGAGGAGAAGTTGTGTGTTTACAACACACAAAAAGAGACAACAGCTAACAGTGGCACACTGACTGGTTCTAGGCAAAGTTAATGATGTTAATGTGCAGCTGCCAAATTGCTCTGCCATGGAGTTGCCGAGTCTCTGCATTAGAAAAATGACAGATTGAATTTTTTTGACATGCTCCTAAATGATGTTCTAACTGATGTTGCACAGATGGTGGAAACATGCAAACGGCGAAATCAAACACAGCCTCAGACGAGGACTGTTGTGGGTTTGTCTGAGAGTTAGACGGTGATTACAGAGCAGGGCTTTTTTTTTCCTGACGTTTATCTTCAAAGTTGCGTGGCATGTCACCTGTTAGCCTCTGTTGTTTAGCTTGAACATACTGTATGAGGTGTTTTTGATCCCCCCACTGATGAACTGGTTGAACATGTGGCATTTCAGCGTTGTTTGTAATTACTCTCAGCAGACTCACAAACACACACATCCACAGGCTCCGACTCTTTAAGTGAATCCATCTGCATCCCCACACATGTACAGTACATTTTTGCTCACATGTATACGGGACAACCTCAAAGATGTAAACTGTGGGTTCTGACCTCTTATTAGGAGGGACACGGTTCACACACAGGTATTAATGTCTGACTGTCACTGTTTAAAATTTGATAAATCTCATGTATTTAGCTGAAAATTTGCAGTGGCCCTCCACCCCGCCCCCAGTCCAGCAGCCACTTCTTCAACCTCTGGAGTCATAGTGCCATCTTGTGTTTCATAACGTCACTGAAATTCTCCAGCTTGGATTTGAAATGTGAAAGTCGATTTGTTCCGTCAGAATTTTGTGGTTTTTGATGTTGGCCTCCGTTTCAGTTGTTGATGCCATTTTCAACACATTGTGGTTTCAGTGTTTAGGACTGTGAAAAGGTTAGTCAGGATTGACATTTGAATGTTTTCATTATTTTAATTATTTTTAATTATTTACTTTAGTCTTTATAATCTCTCTAATATTGTTTTGATTAAAATATCCTTGGTAAATCAACAGTAACCAATCAGGGCTGGTTGAATTAATCAGGGTGAGGCTGCAATAGTTTTTTAATTGAATGAAAAAAAATGGGGGGGGGTCTCAAACATATGGCCCGTGGGCCAAAACCGGCCCACTAGGGTGTTTAATCTGGCCTGCTTGATCAATTACACAAACACATTTTTTGTAGAATTATTATTATCTCATTAATTATGAATAAATAATATTACATATCTAATTTACTTGTACTTTCTTTGCATGAAAACAAAGGGGAAAACATTGATTTATTGTAGTTTATTATTTGTTATGTTATGACTGTGGTGGTCCAGCCCACTTGACATCTATTTAAGTTCTATGTCGTCTGTGAACCAAAATGAGTTTGACACCCATGGTTTATGTGATTTAAATATAGATATGTATTTTTAATAAAACAAATATGTTCATTTGTATGAAAGAAAAAGTAATTGGTAAGTTATAGATTAACACTGAAGAGTTTACCGTTATAGATAGGTAGGCAGTGTGGCACCACGTGTGTTTACTTCACGCACTAATGGTGTTTGTGTTTGTACTGGTGATGATGATAAGATGACAGGGACCAGAGGCAAAGTTTTTCTCACACTTTTCAAACGCAAAGTGAAGTGGAGCTGATCAGAATGCCTCTTTTGTTTCCAGGGAAAACCAGGTCTTCCAGGCAGCGCTGGTGAGAGGGGGCTACATGGGGAACCAGTAAGTACGCCACCTAATGCGAGTCACATTCAACTTTTTTTTTTCTTCTTCCTTTCTCCAGACCACACAATGTGAACAAAAAAAACAATTATGGAATCTACCAGTGTGGTCTGGACTTCTTTGTTCATAGCAGAATACCAGCAGCAGTTGCATTGTTTTAGAGTATATCCCCCCCCCTCCTTTGTAGCCCAACCGCCCCCTCCCGCCCCCACCTCGATCCCCCCTGCTTTCGTTACACCTTTAAGCTCTCGCACCTTGCACCTCCTACTTTGGATTAGCCGTCAAGTTCTTGATTTTCCTGGAAATCCGCCGACCCCTCAGGGACATCGAGAATGTCAAACAATCACGTACAAATATTTATTGGGCTGAGATATTTCTCCGACGCTACGTGCATGGTTTATATTATGGGTCTCATCTTGCTCTTGGCTGCTCCTCAGCTTTACTGCAGGCTTTGTCAGTTCTCACATTTCCATTTGAACAGACTTTACACATTTCGCCGTCCGTGTTTGTTTTGTCACTTTATGCCAGAGTTGTGTATTTTGTCTGTCCTGACGTTTCACTCTTTAATTGACTGTCAGACGTGCAGCCAAGGACGAGAGAACAGTCTCCTCATGTGCTGAGTGTGATGGTGTCTTGGTTTTCTTTTTTTCTGCAGGGACCTAGAGGACCTCCTGGAGATCCAGGGCCTGATGGAGAGCAAGGATCTGAAGTACATTCAATTTAATCCCTGTCTCTGATTCCTAGTTAGCTGTATCAATGTAAGGGTTCTTTTTTACTGCTGTATAATTTATGTGACTTTATGTCCTATAATTAAAGGGCGCCCCTGGTGCTGAAGGTGAACCGGGTCATATTGGAGAACGAGGTCCAAAGGTCAGGAGGTCTTGAATTTTTGTTTTTATAAATACCAACCTTAAAACCTGAGAAAAATTATTATCATTCCCCTCACTTTAGTTACCCCATACTCCTAACAGTAATTGTAACAGATTCTGTGTCTCTGCAGGGCAACGCTGGGCCACCAGGGGCTGAGGGGGAGCAGGGGCAAGAGGGCATAAGAGTGAGTGACTGCAAACAAAGCCACAAATCTCTCCCTTCCTCCCGTCTGGGAGAAATCAAACCCGTTTGTTTATTTTCTCAGTTCTTTCAGACAGTTTCATAAGTGTTTGACTGAACACTGTATAGGCCACACAGTGGACCAGTGCTGCTTTATTTTTGCAAAAACTGAATACAGTTCTGAGTACAAGTATTTGTGTACCTTCCTGTACTTTGTATCAATAACCCTGAATTTATTAATTTTTTTCTTTTAACCCTCAAGATATTTTTTTGTTGATTTTGTTGTGTTCACAGGGTTCACCTGGTCCTCCTGGTGAAGATGGTCCTCAAGGAAAAGATGGGCACAAGGTGAACATCGTAACATCCATTACTTTTGTACTTTTACTACAGTAAAAACATTCATGGAATATTTTTTATTAGTTTTCTGTCTGGCGTGATTAAAAATCAATTTCCATTGCACTCATACTCTCCTAATATGAATATGATTCAGTCATATACACATGCAATGATGTATTTGTATATTAATAACAGACGCCGTCCTCTGCATGGAATTGGCTAGTTAGCATATGTTAACAAAGCAGAGGCAGTGATGCCATTACTGTCCTGAGAAAAAGTTGCATTGTAGAATCTGGTCATGTTAAATCCCCTGGTGATGAGGTAATTAGATGATTTTGATTAGCAAATAATCTCTCTCTCTCTCTCTCTCTTTTTCTTTCTCTCTCTCTCTGTCAGGGTGAGCCTGGTGATGGTGGACCTATCGGTGAACCTGGGGATAAAGGTATAGAAGGAGAACCGGGGCCCCCAGGACTTCCTGGAGAGCCTGGAAAACAAGGCTTTCGTGTAAGTCGCCAACTACTTCAGATACTTTCACAGAACTTTTTTTTGTTTATGTTGAAATATCATCGCCCCCTCACCCACCCACCCACTCCCTCCCTCTCTCTCTCTCACACATAAACAGAGACATTAACCTAACACCCTCTCAACCCTGAACCCCTCGTCCCCCGGCCTCCACAACCAAATACACTGCTGTCACTATAAACTTCACAACACACCACCGAGAAAGTTTTGCACTAACATTTTGAATGTCACTTCATACTGTGTACATAGACTGACACTGTTTATTTACATATATGAATTATATTTTTCACTGGTGCTCCGTTGATGACATGCAGTAAAGTAAAAGAAATCAAGATTGTACTGAACATCAGCTAATTATTTATGGATAACACATGCAAAAAAACAGCAGGAAAAAACACATGACGTGACTGGTTGACTCTGTTACACCCCAGTAGGTGTCAGCCTTCAACCTTCAGCCTTCAGCAGTAGCCACAGTCAGAGTAATTGGTATAGAACATGTGGATATTTAAAACCATCCAGTATCTGAATGTGGATATTTAAAATCATCCAGTATCTGATGGCTGCCTTCATCCATGCTTGTTTTTTTGAGATATAAATCTAGTTGTATTCCGGGCAGTGAGGTCAGAGAGGGCAGGAAAAGTTAAGTTAAGGATGAAAACAGAACCGCTCACTGCTGGTAGAGATGTTAGGCAAAGCTGTTGCCTTTTAGGTATTCACCGCGGCACAGAAAACTACGTGCTGGGAAGATGGGATTGTTATGGAGGCTGAGGTTGATGTTTTTCATTGATGAACTTTTTTTGGAAAAAAAATCTCTGGATCAAGTCTAGTTTGATTTGTGTAGACAGTACTAATAAATGGATTTGAATTTAATGTAGATTTAATGTCACTCACTGAGTCTGTTGTTTCAGGGACCTGAAGGAAAACCAGGGCCACCAGGAAACAGAGGACGGCATGGAAAGAAGGTGATGGCCTTACTCAACACAAACAAAACATGACAACAAAAGAAAAGATGACAGTGACACTTGCGCCCATCAGTCCTGCAAGTGCTGCTAACTTTCCTCAGCTGCAGCCCAGAGATTGTCCAGACCCGTTTATGAAGAGTCTGCATGTGTAAAACATCCACAGAAGGTTGTATTGTCTCTGGTCAATGTCCCAGGAAGCTCGTGAGAACAAACTCAGGGGGCTTCACTGTGAGTGAAGAGGGGGATTGTCCTGCTTCATGTATGCTCTAACCAGATGCTGACCTCTGGTCTGGATCCTTCAGAGATCCTCCAGAGATCCTCCAGAGATTCTCCTGCTCTTTTGAAGGCATCTCACCCAGACAATGACCTGCTGCATTTGTCACTGGTCACATGGGAACAGAACAGTCATTGAACAGGGAGTTCATGTCTGAAACAACTCTTGTTTCAGCTCCCTGGTCTGTCATTAAGGTCAAACTTCAGATGTAGAACAAGGAAACAGAGCAGACATCAAAGAAAAGGAGTTCAATATTGTTATATCATCAAAGAAAAGGAGTTCAATATTGTTTATATTATATTTCCTTAATAAAAAAACAGTTAAAATGGAATGATGTTATCTTTTGACAATCCTTTCCTGTCCTACCAGGGGGAGAAAGGTCCTTCAGGTCTTGCTGGTGAGACTGGCACACGAGGAGACGTGGGTCTAACGGGCGAACCAGGGCTCAAAGGCGCCAGAGGAACTCGAGGTCAACCAGTGAGTCTCTGTTTTTTTTCTGAACTTCGAGCAGATTGGTTCATTTTGTAGACAAATTAACTTTGAGTTGTTAAAACAACTTACAACTATGGACTTAAAATGGATCCATCTGACATGTTGGTTTGTTGCAACTCACCTGCAGTAGTGGTCCACTCTGGAAGTGTCTCTGGTGCTGATCAGATGCAGCATTTTTATTTCTTTTGCTACAAATATGGAAATTAAAAGTGTAAAAACCAGTTTGATGTTACAGCTCTGTAGCTGCACTCATAATTGTAAAAATACTGTTAAAGAAAGAGGCTGCATTATGGTGTGTACTCAAATATTTTTACTGTACAGATGTCTCAGGGTAGTAAATGTATGAGCGAGCTGTGTCTAATTAAAGTAATTAAGGCAAATAAACAATAACTTGCAGCTTCGTGCAAGATGTTTTGGAAGAAAAAAAGCCGTTTACTAAACGTATCCGGCCCGATGCTAATCCTTGTCTCTGGATCGTCGCATCCATCTTCTGTCTCAGCCAAACCATTAAGATCGAAATTGAACTATATTTGGAAACTACAACCAGACTATGACAACAAACATCTTCAAGTGTGTTTTTTTTCTTCTGTTGCTTCCCTTCCAGGGTCAACTAGGAGTCATGGGGATGCAAGGTCAGCCGGGGCTGCTGGGATACACCGTGAGTTTTTACCTGTGATGACAATGCGAAAAAGTACACAGTGACTCATCTCACAAACATCTCACTCTGCAAACACTCCCCACTCCGGTTGACTCCTAAAAGTAGGATCACTGTCTTATTTATAAAGCTGTTGAAATGAGACTTCTATTGAATCAACAAATGGTGTGAGACCAGAGGAGATTTTCTTGGTCCATCCATCAGAGTGAGTCATGGCGTGTGGAATTAAAGCCTGAATGAACGCAGATCTCATCCATACTGTGCCATGAGCTTAGCATGTGCTGAACTCATTTTGGGTTTGAGTCGTTTTTGGAATCTGTTGGCCTGGTTTATTTGTTAATAATCCAATAAACAGTGGGAAAACTCCTTCAGGTGCCACGGAATTATTTTTAAGACATGAAATCATACACAGTGCAGTCAACAGGCTTATTTTTTCCAGGCAACCTCACAGGCTGGTGGGTGCCAACAACACAGGGTCGAAAAGGCGACGCAATTTAGTTGCATTTTGTGCCCTTGTATGAGGAATTGTCTTTAGGTTTTATTCTCCGTCAGTCAATAATTTCTGCTAAATTGTGTGGCCCTATAGAAAACTGGTTCAATAAATAAGCAAGTAGTGTTAGATTAAATGAAAATTATGTTTGTTTGTTTTTTATGTAGAATAAAAATCTGTCTTTTCTTTAGGGCCCACTTGGCAAACCAGGACCCATTGGACCACCGGGGCCTAAAGGTGAAAAGGTAAAAAATCCCAGAATTGATTGCAGAGTTCCTTGTCCATTATCCTGAGTTCAATCACATCTGATGAAAAGCGAGTGTTAGCGTTGGGTTTTTTTTTGTGTGTGTGTAAATTCCAGGGTTATCCAGGCGAGGACAATAAGACCCCAGGTCTGCCCGGGCCCAGAGGTGAACCAGTAGGTCTTGCTTTCCTTTTAACTTTCCTCTCTGGTCACTAACTTGGCCAACTCAGGTTACATACAGTTAACTTTAGTTAACGTTAACAGCTGCTAACAAACACAGCAGAGCTGAACATGATGTTTGTGCGGTCATGTGACAACAGCTGCGAGAAAACACACACTCTGTACAACCTGCTATGAATACATGTCTAACTGTACAGTGTGTGACTTAAATATTTACAATCAATTTATAGGGTTTTTTTTATACACTATATGTGTATATATGTGTACATATGTGTATATATATTTTATATATATATATGTATGTATACATACTGTATATTTACACATATACACAGGTCATAGACTGTTTAGATTATAGTTTTGTTTATGCTCTATAGTTCTATATTCACAGTAGTTTTATAGATACTTTATAAATACTGTAAGTTGTTACCTGAGATACTACGTACAATTTTTTTGTACAAGTATAACTGTGCAGTTACAATACATAGTTGTATTATTCACATTAGTGATACCTTTATATCTAATGTCTCTAGACCAGGACATTGAAACTCAAACACAGTACATTGTATAAAAACCCAGGTGGAGTAGTACATAAATGTGAAGTATTGCATTACCTGGCCTGCACAGTGTTGCAGTACACATCCTTTTAACCACAAAAGCAGCCTCTGTTCTACAGCAGCCTTGATCCAAAAATGGGCTAAAGTAGTTGAAAGTAGTTGAGTTGAAGGTGAAATCACGCCTCAGACTCAGAGCGGTTACACGCGCCGGCAGGCGTTCACAGTAACGTGAGTTCATGTCTGTACGTTTGTGTCTGTGCAGGGGCCCGCAGGTGAACGAGGAGAGCGTGGCGAGCCAGGCGATGAAGGATACCAGGTAGATAAAACCGCAGATAGGAATCCACATCAGACAGACCGTCATGTCATCACAGAGAGTTATGTGTTTGGTCGTTACTCTTTGTTTTACGGTGCTCTATTAAAGCAGTGTTTAATTCGGTTCAGGACAGACCACACTAGGTGGAGGTGATGACTACATCAGCAATAAAACTGGTTTAATCCACTGAAGTGAAGTTACGCCTTTAGGGCACATCATTTATTGCTTTGTAAAATCAGGCATGCATGCACCTCTGGTACTAGCTCTCACTTCAAACTCTGTTGGGTAGAGTCTGCAGTACGCGTGTCTTCATGCTTTTATTTGGGCCCAACTTTAGACTAATCATGCTTCTTCCATATATGAATTTTGCGACTTCTGAGTTGCATTACTGCCACCTTGTGCATCTTTTTTCCACAAAGGGATGTCCTGATACTGTACAAAGTTAACTAAAGAAAAGGAAAATGCAGGCACGGGGCAGCATCCCTGCAACTGTATACAGTTCTACAGGTTGATTTTGTATCTTTTATTGGTATTTTTTATCTTCATTTTTCGACTCAAATCGTTCTTTAACAGTATATTTCGTGGCCTGTAAAACCTTTGGACTGACAGTCTAGGATGTGCCAGCACCCTGGTTCTCTCACAAACGTTCTCTGACAGCGATGAGGACATAAACAGATAAGATTAATTAGCAACCACCTGCAACATTTGATATTTCGTTTTAATGGCAGTGATGCTCAGAGCCAGGCTAAGATGAGAAGCTGAAGCTAAGAGGCTTTCCTACCCAGATCTGCAGGATTATTGTCACTGGAACGTGCATTTTTCCAACCTCAGTGTCTGAACTCAGTCACTCACTCAATCACTGCTGCAGCCAAATATTATTTCACTTTCCCAGGTGCTAATGCAGTGGAAAATGGGTATGAATGTCTGAAGTAAAGGGGGCACCGATGGTTCAAAGCCAACAGACTTTATAAAAAGGGAATTGATTTGATTTTTTTTTTTTTTTTTTTTTGCTTTGCCAGAGAACCTGAAGAGACCAGTGCATGTACATGACACTAGAGAAAAGTAATTTTTTCTGTTAAAAATTCACAAGTTTTATAAGTCCAGAACAACAGAAAAATCTGTTTCTCTTTTGCTTCAATGATCACAAATATGGTTCCTGTATCAGGAACCATATTTGTGACAATTCCATTGGCTCAATCTCAGATTTTAGCCAGTATTGGGTGAGTCAGAGGGTGAATATGATTGGACAACTGGATCTTAAAATAGATGCCTTTTGAAAATCGACCTTGTTTGCAACAAAAAATTTCGAGTCTTGATTTTACTATTGGACAACTGGATCTTAAAATAGATGATAGATTTTAAAAATCGACCTTGTTTGCTACAAAAAAAAATTCGAGTCTTTATTTTACAAAAATGTGTTTCAGGGTCATATCGGTACCACTGGACCTCGGGGTGCAGTCGGACCACAGGGGGCACCGGTAAGTCAGGAATCGGCTGTACGGCAGAAGTTACAACAAATATTATTAGAACTATCACATTTGCACCCATTTGCAGTGATTAATTGACAAATGTTACATTTTGTTTTTCATGTATTGACTCCATCAATATATGTTGCTGTGTGCTTTGTGTAGGGATCACCAGGCCTCCCTGGAGAAATAGGACCAAAAGGGGAGACGGGGGCCGTGGTGAGTCACCTCAGCCGTTACAGTCTCTGTTCTTCTCCTGTAAATCAATCTTCCAGCAAAGCCTTGTTCAGCTGCTGCCAGTAGGGATGGATTTGGTTTGTACCTAACAGTAGGAACAGGAAAAATCCTGCTTTTTGTTTCCAGAGCAAGACCAACCACAGATTTCTGGCCGACAAACACAATTTTATTTCTCACCTGTCACCAGATTTGCAGGCTAGTGCGTGGTTTTTCAGTTGTTTTAGTAACCGCTGTTGTGTTTCAGTAGTCAGAACTCTTTGGCGTTGAGCCGCGGTCTCAGCCCTTTTTTGTTTTATATCTGATGCCAAACACTGTACAAACACTTCAAACAACTCCTGGAAATTTCCTAAAAAGCAGCAAATGGGATGACGAATTTAACCTTAATCCCCGAACATTTTATCCAAGAATAGCTACACATATACATAAATATATATCAATATATATATCAATATATATATATATATATACACACATGTATATATACAGAAGTAAAATGTACATGTTTATATGTTTGTGTATATATATGTATATCTATGTATATGTATATATATATATATATATATATATATATATATAATCAATTCTATGTAATGCATGAAACAAAATCTTCACAACAGCCCTGTACTATCTTTGCAGACCAGTAGGGGGTTGTGGACCCCTCTGCCCAAAAGAGCAGTTTCCCTGCTATAGATGAAACACATCGATATCTTATATTCTCACATATGGAGCAGCGGGATTCAAGGCACTTGGCTTTTTGGCTCTTCTCTGTCATAGTAGTGAAGATGTTTTTAGGCGTTAACCCGCTGATTGCGTAACCTCCCCCTTTTTTCCCTGTGCAACAGCACTGGGGCTCCTTGATCAGGTTGCACATGTGTAGCTTTCACAGGTTTCCAGATACTGACTTTCTCTGTTCACATGTGAAACTGCTTTATGCAAAAGTGATTATATAACACATCATCAGATGCTGTCATCTCACGTCTATGTGAAAATATCACATAATTTAATTTATGCATCTTGGCCTGAGCTTGAACTGACTGTGAAGGACAGCGTTGACTTGCAACATTCAGAAGACAAACTGTGAAATATCAGAAACGGAACAGTCTGGCAGGAAGAACACTGGAAAGTTGGGGATTTTTTTTTTTTTTGTCTGTTTTGTATTAACAGATTTATTTAGGCAATCTTTGCAAACTCTACTCTCTTAGATTGATACGACACATGAGTTTTACAGAGAAATCCCGAGTGCGTGTGCTCTGTTGCCTCAGGCCTCGGCTGCTTTTTGTCAGAATTATTAACATATGAATGGCCCGAGTGCAAAAAACTATCGACCTTCAGGATTTTTCTGAGTTAATCATTTCACTTTATTGTAGCAGAATCATGTGAACAAATAACATTCTGTAAGAAAACAACAAGCTCGTGAAGAAGGTGCAGGTTTACTGTTTCACCAAGTAAGCTAGAATATTTTTCAGAAGATTAAAGTAAACTAGAACTGTAGAAATGCTGTATGACTTTATATTTACTATATATAATTTTAAGATGTGTCATGATGCAGAATCAAAATATGAAAAAAACACATTGTTATATACATGTTTTAATATTAAAATAATCCTACAGAATGCACTCAAAAAGATGGCTAAGCTCCTCAGTAAAAACAACATGTCTGTTTCTGTATATTTACTCTTCATTAATGTCTTTACTCAGGGATCAGCTGGCAAGAAAGGAGCGAGGGGACTGACTGGAAGTCCTGGTCCAGAAGTGAGAATCAGTTTTTTCTTCTGTGTGCACAAAGAGAAAAAAAGAGATTTTTTGATTCATTTCAGAATTTTATTTATTTATTTGTATGGTTTCGAGTCATAAAACTTTTAGACATTGGACATTATCTTTTCAGGGCCGAGGGGGAGCACCCGGACTGGTGGGAATGGTTGGATACCCTGGACCAGACGGCCCCCCAGGACTGATTGGTTTGCCCGGACCGCCTGGGATTCAAGGACAGCAGGTGAACAAATTAGAATCCAGTCATGAGTTAAAATCCATCCCTGGTCTTTGTCCCTGTCTCACTCCAGTCTGTCTTTATGGTATCGGTCTGCAGTCAACCTCAGTGAAACATGCAGTAATTCAAAAGATATCAAAACAGGAAAAAAGAGAAAGTTGTAACACAGTTGAGCGTAAAGGTGCAGCCAGCAGCGGATTAACGTGTCATGCTTTCAAGGCAACTCTTTTCCGTTGGACATTTACTGGGTAATTATTACTATTTACGAGTCAAATAAGACATATTTTACACTCTTTATTTCTCACTTGGACTGAAGAGATTTATCGTCTCCGTCCACTGTGTGGATCCCATCAGGGTGAAACTGGTCGACTCCTCCGTCACACGTTTAATTTTAAAGATACACAGACTGTAAATTAAAGAAACAGTCTTTATTTTCATTCCCCACCAAACTGACCTGAGTAAACGTGTGAAAATGCTTTTAGCAGGTTTTTCCCGACCCATTAGTCTGCTGCTGTATTATTACAGTGTTATTTTACAGTGAGGAACTCAGTGACTGTGTCGAGGCTAGAGTTCAACAGGAAACGTGGGAACAAATCTTGTCCTCCCGTGCTTCTCAGTTATTGCTCCCATAATTGACATAAAGGTCTAATTTATTGTTTCTTTTATTGTCTGCTGCATATTCATTCCCATCCTGGCTGCCAGTTGGATGTGTTTGTACATTGAGGGGGAAATTAGTTCAGTGTTTTTGGCTTTTTTTTTTCTTTCTTTTTTTTCATTATTGCAGTGAGCATCAGGAAAGAAACATCAGAAAAGTAATTTATTATGACTAATTTGCATTAAAAAAAATAATACAAAAATCCAGCACCAACAGGTGGTACAGCAGGAGGCGTCTGCTTTAATGGTCAGAAGTTTTATTTAATGTCATTTTATAACCTTGGAATATTTTCATGCAAAAAGAGTCAAAACAAACACCAGATGTAATTTTTTTAAAAATGAGTTAATTAAGTATGTGCATATTAGAGGGAGGTGATACATCTGTGAGTAGGAGGACAGAACAGACAGTACAGACAGTAAGTCTTTCTCCGTACGTGCAGCCTGTGGTTCAGGAGTTCAGTTCCTACCTGATTTATCTCCTCTGTTCCTGGTAATCTAGGAACAGAGGCCACGTGTGAGGCAGCGATCAACACCGACCGTCTGTTATCCTAATATCAGTCGCCCCTCGGCATCACCACACTGCTGATGGAGCAGGAAACCGCTGCGGTCTGTGGCGTCAGAAAGCCACTCAGTTTTATGGCCACTCTCGCTGCTGCAGTTCAGGAATATTAATTCCAGCAGAGGTCGGCCGACCAGAGCACTGTGGTGGTTACAGTACACAACGGTGCCTCACATACACAGGGCACCACAGACATGTGATGTACATGTGATTGATAACAGGCATTATCATCAGTCTTCAAACTGTGGTTTCCAGGAGGCGTTAAAAGTAATGATTTGTTTTCTTTTATTGGAGTTCTTTTCTGGTTAATGTCCTGAACACTGTACTGTGGTTGACGTACAGGAGACCGCATGTGAAAAAAAAGGTTGTACATACAATAATTTGGACACATCACTGCAAAAACTGCAAAATAAAAAGGTTTATTAGAGTTTATGTATAGAGATTTTTTTTATTAAAAAAAAATTTAAATTAAATATTTCTTCAATTAATTTAATAAATAGACATTAAAAAAAAACTAATAAAAAAGAAATCAAATCATCAATCCTTGATGTTCTTGATGCTGAATATCCAGAAAAAGTTGAATTAAGTGATCAGCTCCTACTTAGGTTGTAAAAACAGAATGATTTTTCAGTAAATATCTCAATGTGAAACTTCTACTCAAAGTTACATTTACATCCATGTTACAATACACTTTGAATCCAGGGGCAGAGAGGCCAAGTGGGACTGGAGGGAACCGCCGGACTTCCGGGTCGTATAGGAGAAGTCGGTCTTCCTGGACAACTCGGAGAGATTGGACCGCCCGGACAAAAGGTAAAAACACAGTACAGTACTCTACATAGACAGTGATCAAGAAGTATTGCCGAATATTCGTCTAAAGATGTAAATTCAATCTTTATTCAGAGAACCATTTTTATCTCTGACCTCTGTTGGTTCAGGGTGACCCTGGTCTGCCGGGGGACGGAGGAGCCCGGGGACTGAAAGGCATGGAGGGCAGCGTTGGTGATCAGGGCAGAAAAGGCGACCTAGGACCTAAAGGTCACTCAGTAAGTGAAGACAGAATTCACATTAAAACATACTAGAATGTTTAAGGATGTGTTTCTGGACTGGATTTGGCCCACGGGCCCCAGGTGGTACTCACTGTTGTATAGGTTTAATTAAAACTGTTTTCATATGTTTAATCATCAAAACCTGGACGATATCAGGACAAGAAACGTGATATGTATCAAAAATGGAAATCCAATTTTTGTGGGTGTTAATTTACCCACTTTTTCACTAGGTAAATGTTGTTTTTGAAATACAACAATTATTTTACAGAATAAATATAGACAGAAAACAATATAAACTGACAAAAATAGATCTCATCATGTAAATTTATCACAATTTTCTGGACTGGTTTATTTCTTTAAATTTCCTACTTTTTTTTTTTACCAGGACTCTGGTTTTTATCACAGGCTAATGAACACAGTGAATATTAATGTTAGATCTGTATTTTCACCTTGAGTTATATCCTGGACGTCTGCTCCTATTGTCCAAAGTCCTGCAAAGGCACCGATCACAGTATTGGACATTAGGTCTTAGAACAGGGCTGGCAGTTCAAGGCTCAGAGACAAAGGAGAACTGCACAACATTCCACACACCAGGAGTGAACGTATCAGGTCGTTTTGTGTAAAAATATTGGAACAATAATGTTGTCTTTGATTGGTTCCTTCCCTGACGTGTTTGGTTCTCGAGAATCCTCTTCGACTAATAGACCTCTAAACATAGTGTGAGGTTCCTTGGTGGCCGCTCTGCAGTGGGGTTAAAAATGTGTGTGTGTTTGACACGTTCCACCTCGACTGGAGTAACAAATTATGTGGGGCGAGACGAGGAATGGAAACACGGTGCCTGGTCAGGACACGTTATATAAGACCCTCACGCTCCACAGACGTGAAAAAGAGTCACTCTGTTTTTCTTATGTAACTCTTTAAAACCAAAGAGAGGAAGAAACCCCACTCTGCCCCCCCTCCACCCCTCCCCAACCAGTTATCTCCACCGATGTCGGTGAAACAGAGAGCAGACCCGGACCCTCGGGCCAGATCCATTTACACTATTGAATGAAAAGAGTTTCTGCATTAAAATTGCGGCTGGAAAGCGGAGCTGTCTGGAGGACGTGATTGACTGGCTGTACAAACACACAGTCTGCTGTCCTGGACAGACACAGAGCCGGGGCAGACGCCTCACTCACACTCACACACGTGTGAGTGTGTGGAGAAGGATGTGTGAATGTGGTTTGTGGTCACTATAAAGCCAGACACAAGGCCTTGTGTGTGTGTTGGGGGGGGGTGATTAGTCCAATCTTTTCTATATGTGGAGTATGATATCAATGTCCTCTCCGCAGGGGGAGCCTGGAAATGTGGGCATGGTTGGTTTGCAGGGTTTCCCAGGCCCCAAGGTAAGACCAGACAAATACAGACACACACCAACAGACATTTAACCTTCAACAAAACAAAACCAAACAGTATTAAGCAGGAGACAAATTGTTCTTCTTTTTACTTAAACAGGGACCAAACGGTGATTTGGGATTCAGAGGATTCCCTGGACCAAAAGGTCCCATGGGAACTTTGGTAAGTTTGGTTTAAAAAAAAAAAAAAACATTTTTTGATTAATTAACCATGGGACTTAAAATGTGATTAATCACCATTAATCATGCTAAATCAACATTGTTTTCTTTACATTTCTGAAACGAAACACAAATAACAGCAGGTCGATTTTTATATGCGACAAATCCAAATTAAGAAATGATTATTCTTGTTATTAATACTGTATATGTATGCACCTAGTGGATCAGTTCATACTCATTTCATTTCCATTTCTCTGGCTTTTCCTGGAGACAGTGACCCAGTCAAAATGGCCCGAGTGGGCTGTAGCTGCAGCTAAACTCTAGTAGGACATAATGTACTGACACTTTACTGTCTGGGTGAAGTTGATGTCTGTGTAGCTGTGAAGCCAAGGGAGACAAGTTTATAATCATCTACTCTATCTCTATCTTCAGGGATTCTCTGGACCAGTGGGTCCTGAGGGAATGATTGGTCCAATGGGCAAACCTGTAAGAAATGTCACCTACTGTAATGATAATCCTATAGTTCCTTCATATATTCATATATACAGTATATCCATGCATCCTAATCTATGTGTATTATATATCTTTTTTCTCTCTACAGGGACCAAGGGGTCCAAAAGGAAGTAATGGTGAAATGGTAAGTCCCATGATGAAGTTACAGTAAACAGTTAGTGATGTGATGATGTCATAATTACACACCAACTGTCAGGTCTGCACTTTCCTCAGCAGGCAAGTTTTTTCTTTGACACGCTGTACTGTCCAATGACAAGAAGCTACATTTAAAGGTGCATGAACGCAGCGCTAGTTTTTTTTCTCTAAAATCACCACCACCCTCACCCAGGTGTCAGCAGATCGCCGTGGTTGAATCCCGGCTGCGGCTCAGTGTCTCCAAGAGTTGGCTGCGGGAACTTAAAGTACACCCAGACCTTCTTATGTAAACACCATGAAGGAAATACCTTGTCAAAATGTTAGCATGGCAAACCGCGGCGCAATCCACAAATTCACTTCTATTTCCATGCTGCCTGTCGCTAATGTAAACTGTAGTGTGATTCCCAGGATTCCCAGGTCGGCCCAAATCCCTCTGCAATTTACACTCCCACATACATATAAACAGACGGTGTACACAATGGGCCCTTCTTCTGCCCGTTCACCTACAGTGAATATGGATGATGTCAAATATGTAATTACTCTCAAACACGGCATAAATTATCCAGCGCACCACAGGGGGCAGTAGGGGACCACACAGTTTGATAGCCAGAGAAAATATCCTGCTGCTGATCCACATAGAGAGGTGTGACAGGAATATATGAAGTGTTTGTATTGTCAAATAACATTAGAAATAATTTTTATCACATGATTCAACTTTTGTTTTTCAGGGACCTCAAGGACTAGAGGGAAGCCCCGGACCGAGGGTAGGTAAACATACTGATATTGTAGTCGTGGCTGAAGCTAAAAAAAAAACACTGAATTTAACAGTCAGTAAATGATGGGAATGTGAACTGACGAGAACCACCACCAGGGCCATTTTTAATTCTGCCTTTTTTTTTCATTGTGTCCACCTCAGGGACCTCCAGGAGCTCCAGGTCCAACAGTAAGTGTCTCATGTCACAGACGAGCTGCTGAGATTAATGGAAAAAATAGGAATTGGCCATCGAGTGAAAGGAACATATGACTGCAGCTCATGGGATGAATTTAAATTTTTCCTAGGAGCATCCACTTGGATCCGTGGTTGAACTCGTTTTTAGATTTATAACCTGATGTAAAGGTCACTCCGATCCCACAGAGCTTTTCTTTAGCTATAGCTCAGGACTGAATGTGCTAATGATGGATGTAAAGCTGAAGTCATGACATTTTCTGTCATAAAAGTCAAATGTCAGCAGCTTCGCTATGACATTACGCAAAGTTCCTGTTACTTTTTCTTACATTTTAATTTGTTTTCAATACTTCTGTGGCCCATTTTCTGCATCTTAAGTGAAAGAAGGCACGACTGTCTGTGTGTCATCCTGTCTGGAGACCTATCCTGTTACATCTCCACTGAAACACGAGATCCTCTCCTGTCAAGTTCTTTTTCTGTGACAGCAGAGCTGAGCCTGGATGTTAGAAAAACTCTAGAAGAGCCAACAAATCACTCAGTCTGTCTGATCTGTCCACACGTCCTCTCCTGTATGAACAGTTCTTAGAAAGATGTAAAAGACTACACTAAGTCCCACTGTTCATGTACTGTAGGCCAAATACTGTATGTCTTTATGTTGGGCCACATGCTGTAGATGGATACTAGTACAGTAGCTCACCTCCAACAAACGAGAAGGTTTTAACACCAAACTGAACCAAACTAGACCAATCCAAGTGAACCTAATCTAATTTAATCCAATCTAATGTAATGTGATGTAATCTAATCTATTATATTCAACTCTACTCCAATTTAGTATAATATAATACTATATGACTTGACCTTATATCAGACACATATGTGTCAAGTGGTGCCTTCATATATTTACAAAGGATTTTCTCTCTAACTCGGATCTACTGTTTGTTGATAAGGGCAGCTCTAATACCTGTGTTAAACCAGCGTATTAACATCACACTGAACCAGCTCTGTTTCCTGTAGATGTTCCTGTACAGTCTCTCGGACTCTGACGCTGACTACACGACCGAGGTAAAGACACAGGTTTTACTTCACATTCTTCACAGTTCTTTACAAAGATTCAAATTTTAAACTTTTTCTCTCCTGTCTTCATAATTTATCACCAGAGTTTCCAGAACACAGAGATGGGGGTGCCAGAACAAAATACAGAGATACTGAAGACTCTGCGTTACCTTAGCGACGTGATTGAAAACATCAAGAAGCCTCTGGGCACGAAGGAGAACCCGGCTCGTGTTTGTAAGGACCTGCTGGACTGTCAGCACAAACTTAAAGACGGTGAGAGAGAGAGACGAGAAGAGATAAAAGACAAATGCAAAGAGTTTAATTCGTAATAGAATAATAGAAAAATTGTGTGGAATGTATAAGAGAAATGTAAGTGCACCATGGGAGTTTCCCCCTGCAGTCGAGGCCTAAAACTATTGAAACTACTATACTGTGGAATATATATAATATATATAAATATATATTTAATTACTTTTTTTCATAATGATTTTCCCTTTTGTGGACACCTAGATTGGTTCTGGGTCGATCCAAATGTGGGTTGTACGTCTGATGCCATCAAGGTCTTCTGCAATTTTACAGCAGGGGGGCAGACCTGTTTACATCCACTGGCCACTAATAAGGTAAATAAAAAAATGGCACAAATTGTTTTTATATATAAAAGCATAATTCAGTTCAAATTAGTTTTTGTTTTTTTATTCTTCCGTCTCTTTTACCCACAGATGGTGTTTGGTGTCGGGCAAGTCCAGATGAAATTCCTCCATTTACTGAGCACTGAGGCCAGCCACAGTATCACACTCCACTGTCTGAACGACCCACCTGATGTTAGGGAGAACAGCGTCACCTCCGCTGAAACCACACATAAACAAAACACCACACTCTGGTTCCGTGGTTGGAAAGACACTATACTTGAACCGCATGTGCTACAAGACGAGTGCAAGGTACGTGTGCATCAGTGCCTTAAAGATGCCCGGCCCCTCGGGAATAATAGTTCAATTCCTTCAGTTGACCTTACAGGATTTCTGTAATGGCTTGGGTGGTATTATGGTCTGTCCTCTGCCTTCGAGGAAGTGCCTTTTCATCTAGAACACGTCAAACTCAAGGCCTGCGGGCCAAATGTGGCGCACAAGATTATTTTGTGTGGCCCCCCGGGAACTCAAAAAAACATTCAACAGTCTATGCTGCTTCAGAGTGTATACTGACCATAACTTTGACTCATGTCTTCTCTCTTAGATCCATGATGGGAGTTGGCACCAGTCACATTTCTTCTTTCATACTCAGGACAGTCGTCAGCTACCTGTAGTTGATATCAGAGAGTCTCCCACATCGCAGCCCGGAGGTCGACAGCATCTAGAAATCGGTCCAGTCTGCTTCCTCTGACCAGGACGTCACCACCACCTACTTACACATAAACTACTTCGGTGTAAGGCTGTTCACTGACTGCCTTCCAAACAGAAGCTTGACTACCGAGCTAGAGTAAGTGTTTGAGGGAGCAGGTCATGTTCCTTGGCTAGTGAATAATGGGACTTTGTGAGTGTGATGAACACCAAGGTCAGTTCCAAGGCAGACCTGTAAGAATCCGATCTCTGCGGGACATCCAGAAGAAGAAGGCCAAAGGAGAAGAGTGTATAACAATATTTATCGAATAAATGTGTACAAATATGTTTGTTTCCATAATTTCCAGTCAAAAAAAGGTGCTGATATCAGCTGTGCACGGACCCTGACGACGGGGTACAGCCTCACAAGGCAGCAGAACTCACATGACCCCCTCATCGCTTACCCCCTGACCTCCAAACACACCCTGACCATCCTACACAGGGGAAAAAAACCGAAGGAGCGTGCCAGGCCTCCACCTCGGAGCACTGTCTAATTAAAGGTTTAATAATGAGTGCAATAGCATGTGGATGATGTGTGACTGCTCACAGTACTTCATTTTCCAAGCAGACACGTGTAACCTAGATTTGTTTTTTTCATGATATTTTCATCTTCAGTCCAGATCACTTGGACCTCTTCATCTTGACAGATGGTGCTCTACCTCTACCTGCTCAACGCTTTCTAGAATTAGTCAAAATTAGTCATTATTGCCTTTGTGTTGTGTGTACCGGTTACATCACCATTTGTAATGTTGTATGAGTACTTTATGTTGATTTGGTCATTTCTAATTTATGAACCATTTTTTTATACTACATATTTTTGTAGAGTTTCCTTCTATGTGGTGGGCTCTTCAGGACAGGCCTATCATTGGTGCTGCAACATACAATGAGACATCAGTGACTTTTTTTTTTAACATTTCCTGTGTATATATTGACCGCATACTGTATGTTTATTTATAGCCGTTTTGGTTTCTTTTTTTTCTTTTCTTTTTTTTTTTGCTCACATCACTGTATATCAGTAAATTATACTCAGAGAACTTTTTGGTCAACCACAACCCAGTCTGAAGAAGTATTTATGTTCCAAAGGTGTGTTTGTGTGTTAGCACCATGTTTATCATACTGTTATTTCAGCCCATTCTGTGGTGACTGTGTGGACTGGCAGCTATAGAAGGCCAGAGTCAGAGCCCAGCCAGCATATATGGGTTAATTTGTGTGTGATATATATAACTGTAACCAAATGCTATTTGTCCAAATAAAGCAATTATCAATTGTCCATGTGGGACAGACCCATATCGTCCAAAATGTTCAGTCCCAAAAAACAGGTTTAATGTAAAGGTGCTGGCTGGGAAACCTAAGAATACAGTCCTTCCATATTAAGTTATATTACCTTGAACAAAGTGTAATTATATAAATGTCTGTGGCTGAAAAATGTTGGATCCTAATGTGTAAATAATAATAATAAAAAAAATGCCAATTAAATGCAACATTTTATCCATCAACGAGTCCATGCTGTAAAGTCATACTGTAAGTGATAGACACATGAATGTCCGCCATAAGAACAACCATCACCGAGATGCCTTTGAGCAAGGTCTTTGGTCTTCAAACATCCTTTTCATAAACTTTCCAAAAAATAAATGAAGGGGGAAAAAACAATAAAAAACAATTGCATCTTTACGCAGCATTATTTCACATTATGACATAACATGGATGTAAATAACTGGTTATATCTTCAGTGTATAAGTGTCATAATTTTTTGAGGGTCATCAATCAACATTTTTACGTAAAAAAACAAAAACTTGTTTACTTTTTTTAATCACATTTACGAAGTTCATGACCAAATATTTTTTTTTTTTTTAATCACATTTACGAAGTTCATATTTTTTAAAAATTATACATTTTTATCAGTTCCGCCGCTCAGACACTAGGTGTCACCACCGAGTTAGTTGGAAACAGGAAGTTGTCTCCACGTGCTGCCGGTGGCAGCAAAATTCTGGTGGTTTGTTTTGATGCCGCGGACAGTAACGTCGGGGCAGTTTTTTTTTCCTGATATGTGTGACATCATTTTACCGGCCACGAACGTCATGTCAGCGGACATGAACGACGAACACGACGACGAACCGAGAGCTATCAAAAGAAAAATTTCTCTCTCCAAGTGAGTAGTTTTTAGAGTTAGGAGTAAACAGCTAACTTTGCTAACCGGACGTTAACGTTAGTGTTAATTAATGGTGGTTATGACAACGTTTATACATTATTTGTTACTTTATCTTTTTATTTTATCTAATAGAAACAATAATGAATGAATGTCACGTGGTAAAAGTGCAGCAGCAATCAATTGAAACTTCGATGTTTCCTAATGGTCACGTGTCTGTAACATGGCATGCTTTACTTTGACATAAGTTTTTTTTTCAAGTTCAGGTTCCATATCATTAAGTCGTTTTTAATGGTAGAGTGGCTTTTCAGGTTGTTTCAGATCTCTGCTTCGTAAACATTTACCTACAGACAGACGTGTACATTGTGGTGACACTAAGTCAGTCCCAACGTTTCTGATGTAAAAGACGATGGGGGAAAAATACTGAAAACTTAACAACCGAAATTGTTTGGGTGGACCAGTGAAACATAAGCAGTTGTGTAAAGTTTTGGAAGTAAAGTAAGAATATAAATGGCCTATGGTTATTAGAAAATGTTGCTGCTAAGATGATTAAACCACATGCTATACTTTAACCTCTTTAATATGTTTATTTGTAGATGTGTAATGGTTTTTTTTTCACATTGTTGTTGTCACATTTTTTGTCAGGGCTAACATTTACCTCAGACTGACTGTAACACGGTTGTTGTGTTTTTGAACAGCTGTGTTGTGTGTCAAGCAGAAGAGGCAAAGTACAGGTGTCCTGCCTGTCAAACACAGTCATGCAGGTGAGATGCTTAAATTAAATTCCTTTTGTTCTTACAAATTACAAGTATATATAAATATAAATATATACTGTATATATAAATATAAAACATGTTTAAGTTAGATTTCAGTGCACATAGATCACTTTAGCCTCATCATTTGAATAGTAGCTCCAAACCTAGAAAAATGTAGACACCCCAGAGTGAGACAACATATCAATATAAGTAAAAAATAAATAAATTCATAAAAAAGAAAAAATATATAATAATCTTTCTGCATTGTTAACACAGCCAGGTGACCTGAGAGTGCACAGAGCTTTCAGACATATAGGGCAGTTCATGGCAGGACAACAGTGAAAGAATTAGTTCCTTATGGAATATACAGTACCTTAAAAAAAAAGACTTAGTCGTGAGTTTCTGCAAAATCCCGAGCTTGACTTTGACCTGAGGTGTCCCCCAAAGATCTCCCCCTCTGAGCCCTGAGTTATGAAACAGGACAAAGACGAAATAAGCGCAGGATAAAGTTCCGGCTCATGTGGTTTTCCAGCAAATCTGCCGATGACTGAACAGTATGTAATACATAGAGGAGCTTCGCTAAAGCAAACAGACATCGATCCAGAACGGCCCAGTTCGTGCCAACATTTGGAGCTGGGCTCTGTCGTCTCCCCGGTCTACTGCTGCAGCACTGCATCCAGACCATTTGTTTTTGTACAACATTAAAGCTCTGTCGCAGTATTTCACTGCTTTGTCCAATTCTAAAAGCAATAACTTGTAGGTTATATAACAAATGAAAAACGCCTCCACTGTTACAGACAGAAATGTGATATTTTTAACTGTCTACTTGTGCATAAATTGTGTTGTTTCACTGCCAGTAACAACGCACTGCACCGAACATCAGCTGTTTCCTATTCTGTGGATCGTGTACCATTGACACTGTATATATGAAGTATGTTCAGTATATAATGTAGTATTTGCAGATACTTTCTTTTGCCAAACCCTTGTCAAATTGTCTATCCTACCTCATTATGACTCATACATATATATATTTGTCTGCTGTATATCTGTTGTGGTTTCATAGTGTAGCGGTTAGCATGTCTGTTTTGCAAGCAGAGTCCTGAGTTCAATTCCCAGAGGGACCACATATCCCTAATAGCGCCTCCTCTGGCAGCCTGTGTTGGTTGTAAAGACTCACACTGTAAATTTCCCACTGTGGGACAAACAATGGACCTGATTTTTTTTTTCTTCCCACTGTGGGACAAACAATGGACCTTTTTTTTTTCTTTTGTGACAAATTCCTCACTCTTCTTGTCTGCGTCTTTTTCCCGTCCAGCTTGTCGTGTGTGAAGCGACACAAGGAAGAGTCCGGATGCAGTGGAGTCAGAGATAAAACTGCCTACGTTGCCCTGTCGGAGTTTGATGAAATGGCGCTTCTCAGTGGTCAGTGTCTGTGACTGCGGACTGTCACCAACAAATAAGAAACAGTTGACCTTAGTTCACATTAATGAGAATCAGTTCTGACGTGTGTGTGTTTTTCTCCTTCTTCAGACTACAGGTTCCTGGAGGATACAGGCAGGTTTGCTGACGGAGCCTCCAGGGACAAGATTGTCAAAGTTCCACACAGTACTTTTAAAGTAAGTCCGTGTCTACGGTGTTTGATGTTATTTTGCATGATCAAAGTATTAATATTAAAGTATTAGTGTTGGTAAATTATGTATACTACAGTATAGTGTGAACACAAGTCAAACCTAAAAATAAAGTAGTGTGAACACAAGTCAAACCTAAAAATTAAAGTACCACCACAATACTACTACTGGCATTGTAGATTTCTATAAAACAAAACACTATCATTTACAGTATTTAAAAGTGTACTTTAAAATACTGCCCTATGTATCATTGTATGAGTAATACACAGTATACTGTAATACGTTATTTTTACTTCTGTTTTGTACTTCCATGCTGCACAATACTGTATAACACTACATATGGTTATTGAAGGCAGTTCTGTACTACACTACATTGTACTACATAATACTACAACACGCTGTCTTATACCCGACTGTATTGTATCTGTCGTTCAGGCAAAGAAACTCGCAAACTTTGCCAGAAAGATGAACATCACTCTGAGGTTCCTCCCCATCACATTCAGCAAGAGCAGAGAAAACTCCACCATCTTCGTCTTAAAGTAAGAGTACTCCGATTACTCAGATCAAAGTATATACTCTGATTGAGTGTGTGTTTCCTCCAGGAAGAAAACGTGGTTTTTACCTTGAAATGCGGCATCATCGAGGTTTCGTTGCAGTTTTCTGGTCATTTGACAGTTGTGTTTATTAGTGATGTTTTCCTTAACCACAGGATGGCACTCTTGTGAAGCCCTCACAGCAGTGTTGATTCTGCTGCCTGGGTTATCTTTAGGCAGTAAAGAGCCAGACGATGGAACATCAACTATGAGTTGTGACTTGTCCAGAGATTACGCAGCAGGGAACTTTCCCCTGCAGGACAATAGGCCCCGGTCAGAACCAATCATTGTCTCCGGTTCAAATGTTCAATGTCTGACGGGAACACACGACAAATCCATGACGAGTTATAAAAACAACGACAAAGACTTGGTCTGTTGTTTGACATCCTGGATCAGGACACATTCAGTGTTTTTTTTTTTTTTTTTTTTTAAAGCTTGAGCTTAAAAAATACTATAGAGATTTGGTGTATTTTTTATGGGGGGTATAATGTGAGAAAGATAACAATATAGTAAATACAACAACATTAAAAATACAATTTCTTGAAAGTATAATAAATATTTGTGTAACTACCATCACCTGTCACATAAGGATGTTGTTACATAAGGATGTTGTTTTTCCTGGTGTGCAGCGCCACTGAAAAGCAGGCGCTCTGTAAATCGTAAACTGGGTTTTCCCCATTACATTTAAAATGTTATTTTTTTAAAACCTGTGAACCTTCATGTATTTTTGTTGAAAGAAGTCAGAAGGTGAATATATCTGATGATGGATGTTGGAGATGGAGTTGGCAAGAAGAGAAGATGAAGACCTCAGATGAGATCTGTGGATGATGTGGAGATAGATATAGTTAGAGGAGAGGAGAGGGTAAGGTGGAGGCAGATGATGATTCACTGTGATGGAGCAGCCAGAAGAAGAAGATTAGGTTCACTGTAACAAATGTCTCACCAGTTCTCACTCTCTCTCAGTTTTGCGGGCGGTGAGTTAAATGTGCAGCAGGATGAGGCAACATCATGTCAGGTTACAGCCACAGACCCTGCCCTGCGTCCACACATGCACACACACACACACACACACACACGTTCCCGACCAAACACTTGTCAGATGGCGACAGAAAGTTTTTGTAGAAAGGGTGTCTGTGAAGTTGTCATGACTTTGTCAAAAGATCAGCCCTGGAGAAACCAGCCAAATTCCCAGCGGCGCTCCTGTAGGACACAAGAAGAGTCTTTATGCTTTCTTTGCCGTGACAGCATCCACTGAGGAGCCAGCTGTACCGTCGTGTTTGTTTAGTCTGCTTAGCCTCACTGTGTCTTTCTGTGAAGATTAATCAGCTAACCGCCACGATGTACCGCGCGGCCTTTAGCGAACGGACACCAGGGACGGGATGAATGGTATAGAATGAATTGTGAGGAAAATCGAGGGAGAATTTTCTTCAGAACGTACAAAGTACATGTTACAAAAAGCAGATGTGAGTGCCGTGTGACTGCAGCTGGTTAGGGACATATTCATGCTACGCAGTAACGCTGCCAGAAGAAGGATCATTACTGGCAGGCAGCTGACTCGAACAGTGTCGCGCACGACGGGTGGTGTTTTGTGTGTGTGTGTGTGTGTGTGTGAGCCCTGACTGTATGTGTGAGAGTATTTGTCTCTTTGATCAAATGTTTGTTTGCTCAGAGCAGCTACTTCTTTCCACCTTTGGCTGGTGACTAATTTCCAAAACAAGTAGGGAACAGTGAAGAGTTTGATGAAAAATCACTGGCCTCCTCTCCGTCCAGCCCTTGGAGGGCGAGTATTAAACAGCTGGTATTTGGCAGAACGTTGGGGGAGTAGTTGTGTTAGGCTGGAATTATGTTTTCTGCAGCCTCCGCTTGGCATGGCCGGGCACTTTCCTCTGGACCAGTTGGTGCAAAAGCAATCACTGTGGAAAATAATTGCCCGTATATCCGTAATAACTTCTTCAAATTTGTAACGTGAGAGTTGTTGTAAGTCGGTGCCATGTATGTCAGTATGTCGCAAATATTCCACTTCAGTAAATCCCATTCTTATGGCTGGTGCGGACCTGGTATTTGTTTCCACACGTTCACGGCCAATGACGACCAGTAAACTCTGATGCTATAATTTCATAGTTGTTTCGGCAGCTGGCCTTAAGGTTCAATCAGTGGAAATATGCACGGTTTAATTGCATTGGATTCACACTGCCATGAAAAACTAGTGGAAGGCAAAATGATTTTCATTTTTCAGCAGATTAGAGTGTTTCTCCTCCATTAATTTTAGTTTAGCAGAGAGTCATGTTTAAATTTTCAAACAAGACGGAGTGGATGGAGAGTCATGTTTAAATTTTCAAACAAGACGTGGATGGAAATGATGGAGAAGACGTGCCAGCATTCATCCAATCCAATGTGTTCATCTCTTAATCTGAAAGCAATCCAGGCCGCTGACAGATGTCCACACCTTAAAAGTGTCTTGTGTCTAGCAACGTTTGATTGACTGTGTACTCTGGCTGATAAAGTGAAGGCGTTTAAGTTCTACAAGAAAGAGCTGGATCAACTCTCGTTCCTAAAGGCACCATAAGAAGACTGAGTCTTTGTTGCAGCAGACCAGGTCCCTGCATGAGATCTGTCATTATGTCCACTTCACACTCTCATATCCAAATCCAATAAGGCACACGGCCACACAGCTGAGGTTCGTTCTACTCCTAAAGAGGAATGCTGGCATAATCCTACCTCCTCTGTTTAGTCCATCACACACATTTGAATATACTGTAATACTGCAATTATGTTCATCCCAGGGTTTTAAAAAAACACATAAGTGGTGAACACAATATTTCACTTTATAAATGCAGGTGGTGCCATAATGACTATTCATCACTTAACAAGCTCAGTGAGTGGTTCCACTCCTGACTTTTCCAGCAAATTCCAGCAGCTTTTGTCAGAGGTTTCAGACTTCCACAGACAGCCTTCTGGCTGTCGCTGGCTTGATTAAGCTCTGCTGATGCAGAGCAGAGTCTGTGCCGGCTGCCACCCAAGACAAACCTCGCATCAGAATGTTCAGCAGAAGTTTCATTAGCGCTGCAAACGCTGTCATTGCAGTGGGACACATAACTGCGGGGGCCACACGCTGCGTCCCTGGCTCTGAGTGACATTCCTTCAGCTATAAATTAAACGGAGAAGTAAACGTGCTGCACGAGCTACAGAAAACATAAACTCTGTTGACTTGATGGAATTATTTTAACAGGATATCCAGGTGTTGGACAGTGAAATTATTTATGGCTGAAAACTTATCATGTGGTTTGATAGCACATGGCCATAATGACATGGTTTATGTTGACACTAAAACTGAAAACTCAAGAATCACACACTCTGGCTACCAAAAGCAGTCTGCACCTATTTAAGAAAGCACCTAGTTTCTGTTTTTCAAAATAAGTTCCTGGAGAATTTTTACCACGTGAAAAAAGTCCTAACTATTCTACAGAAAACACTCACAGTTCACATCCTGTTTTATTTCAAATGTTCTTTGCAAGTTCTGTATCTCTGTCACCCAACAAGGTGACATTGTAGACGTTCTGGTAGTTGTGAATACCGTCACACAGCCTGTCTTTAAACACTACCAACTCTTGTTTATTATTTTTGTTACTGTTGCTTCTTCTTCTCCGTCCCTCTCTGGTCAACACTGCCCAACACAACACTGCCCCCACAATTTCTGGTGGTACTGCTCTCCTTTTCTGCTTTGGTGTACGCGTCGTACCTCATAACTATGTACGCAAAAGGCTGTTTAACGGAGAGACTTTGGTCAAAAATCAATGCAAAAGAAATTAGCCAAGAAAATGGGAAAAAAATGCGTAAAAATAAGGAATTGTCTGTCCAAAACAATGTAAACTTTAGTAAGTATTGGATTTCCCTAAAGGAAAAACAGAGTAATACACAGTATATTTTACAATACCTCATAACCTTTGTTGTATCTTAAAGAAAGACATTACATATTGTGTAATACAGATGGTCGGATGAATCCTGTGACATTACATATTGTGTAATACAGATGGCCGGATGTTCCTGTGGAATACAACCTTTGGGGGGAAAAAAATGCAGTTTCACTGTTTAACTGCATGATGATTCCTTCAAATGTATAAAGTGTGATAGCGCACTAACTCTGCTGCCTGAGGCCTTTCAGCTATAGGAGTTCATGTTTGAGGCTGTGGAGTCAGCAAGTTTTAACAAGGTTTTGAAATTCTAACAGTCGACTCTTGGCTTTTATTTTTGACTTTGTCATGCTTCTCTGTCTTCATTTTAATTGATGGAACTTTTCCCAGTTTTGTTCTGCCTTGTCTAAAATGCTCGGAATGCCTTCCCGGGCTAACCCCTTTTTCCATGGAAAGACCGTGCCGTAATGACAGAATAATGGCATCACACCTGGCGCTCCGCTCCGTACCAAACGTGCACACACATTCAGACGTGTGAGACGTGTGCGTATTCTCGCTCTTACTGTGGAATAACGCCAGAACTAAGCAAACTCATAAATTCCTCTGACTCAGAGGTTTGAGGTGTTTGGCTCCGCCCACAATTGTGTAGGAAATCCTTTCCCAGCTTCTTGTCTTCCACCTTCTTCTTAACACCTCCTCACCCCTCCTCCCCCCATCTACACGTTTGAACCTGGTTCCAAAAAACATTCATGGCAAATTAGATCTTGGTCCACTGGTTTGGACATCTGTACCTGTACCTCTTTAATATGCTCAGATTTTGTAGCTGTTTTGTCACAGAGGTAGTTTTTTAAATATAAACAGTATGTAAAAAAAAATACATTTTGAAACCTTATATTTGACAGTTTTTGTACAGACAACAGTAAATGCTAAAAAAAAAAATACTCACGTTATATTAAGTCAATACATGATTATATCCATAACATTTAGTCTTTGTGAAACATTCACTTTATTAAGTGGATGAAAAACATTGCCAAAGTCTTTATAGATTTTGTTCTCAGTCCATGGTGGATAATTTCTTCTTAAGTTCACTCTTAAGTTCTGGTCATCAGATTTAGACGATTTATGGCCCACCGTTTGAGCTTTTTTTTTTAAAGTGGTTGACCAGGATGTTTCTATGGCTACAAAGTAACGTGAGTGTGTATCGTCCTAAAAATGAAATATTGAAGCCACTGGTCTGTGAGCGGCAAAAAAAAAACATGGCCGGAACACGATGTCTCGTACAAGTTCATCAGTCTCTTTCAGTGTAAAAACATAGAAGACGGGGATTACTGGAGACCAATCTACACCCATCTAAATTAGACAAAAAAAGTTCAAATTCAAGTTCATTTATATTATATATTTATATTCCAACTGCTTCACTGCATCAATTTAAAGGCCCCATTAAGTTGTATGACATCATGGGTTTGTCCTGTAGCCTGGGAGGACATTTGGTTATTTCATTACAGAGGTCTTTCTGGGAATTCTGTTGAGTTATTGGGTTATTGTGAAGGTACACGGTCTTCCTCCATATCTTCTCATGCTGTGAAAAACAAAGTTAACGACTGTGTTGATGAAAATCAGTGGACACGGCCATTATTATTTGGAGTATTATTACACGTCCATTATGATATTAACAGAAGACAGGTCGTTACAGAGACAGACTGTAATTGAAAGGTAATAATCATGGCTGAGTTTTTTGTGTAATTAAATAATTATCCAGATACGGCTGCAGCCGTCATTAAAACTGACGTACACCATTAAATTGCACGAGCACTTAATTGCACCAGCATTGAGTGTGTGTTTACGAAGAGGAATGTGCTGCAGTACAGTATGTCTAATGTTATTGTCGATAACTGTAGTCTGTCCAGTGAGGAGGACGTACATGAACTCCTCCTCAGATCGCCCACGGTGAAAGCAGAAAAGCCCTAATAACAAGGTCTCTGCGCTCCAACCGTACAATTAGGATTTCTCCGTCTTCCTTCTGAGAGTACGTTTCATCTTCATCCCTCTGATCCGTCCAGGCCACCATCCTCGTACCCTGACGGAGACGAGGTGCATGACTCCGCTCCACCCTGGATATGGCACATTCTGTGGTCTTGGTCACCACCAAGTCCTTGTAGTTATGCTGAGTTTGTGCGGTGCCGGACTCCCAGCATTAACTTTTGAGTTTTTGAGGCGCCTTGCCAGTGGCCCATTTTCTGTATCATTTAAACCAAAACATTTCTTCCTGCTGGACTTTTATTTATCTCTGAAAGGTTTCCGTCCTCTACGGACGGTCGTTCAAACGGGTCAGATATAGTTAATTGGGAATAATTTCTGTTTTGGGTCATTGAAGAACTTAAATGACATCGTCAATCAGTCTTGTCTCCTAACATCGCTTTTTCACCGGCTCCGTCTTTAACCGTGGAGACAGTAGTAGATATGAGTAAAGCAGCTGTTCCAGGGGAATCAATGTTTGGTTGTGGAGCACACCCAGCAACCTCAACCACGTTCAACAGTTACTGCCCCAAAGCTGCTTTTCCCCCAAAGACGTGATCATCGTGTGATGATGTCCACCAGCTGGTGTCCCAGTGTTACATGTACAAATCCATGGTTTCCATGGTTACACTGATTTATTCATTTGAGACACACAGACACACACAGATGGAGAAGATGCCTGAAATTGGTCAGGCGTAGTATCTTCTCTGCTCTGGATTCAAACAAAGGGCATTTGTGTTCGACTGTGAGAGCAACGATGACCTCATCCGTGTGTGTTTGTGGTCGTGTGTGTGTAAAAAAACAGTTTTCAAACTGAGTACAAAAAACAAAAAATGCTTATTTGTCTTTGTGTTCAACTCAGGGAGAAAAGGTTCTTGTGGCACCTGAAGCTCCTCTTTCCCCAGAGCAGCAGCGAGTTCAGTCAGAGGAGGTGAGTTACGTAACAGCAGTCACCTTTCTTCAATAACAGCACATTTATTAAATGTTCTGTAGAAGCAAAATCGGCAGTGATCGGGAAAAAAATAAAATTCCATTTAACACTCAGCAGGAGACGCAACATGTTGGCATTTAAGGTTTGTTTTGTGTGTGTGTGTGTGTGTCAACCGCTTCCCAGAAATTTTATCAGAAGAACAAAGCTGTGACCTTACTCTGACTTTTTGACATTTTTTGGGTTTTTTTCTTCCCCTCTCTGTCGAAGGGTGGCTGATGGACAGACGTTGGAGCAGATCCTGTCAGATTATATCCACCCTACAGAGTCAGACCCAGTGACTCGCCAAAAGTGAGCGTTTTTTTTCCTTGTGGTAGTAGTACACAAAGCTAAGGTTGAAGTACTTGGAATTAATCAATTTCACCAGTAGGACGTCTGACTCGGTCCCAAACTTCTGTTGCTTGTTGACATGCAGGAATAAACTGAGGTTTCATACACGTGGCTTTGAGGTACTATGTCTAGAACTAACGGGAATCAGACAGAACCGATGTTTAAAATCTGTTCTGTATAGCACAGACCACAACAAAGACTGTTTGCGTTCATTTATAAACTGCACCACGTCGAAGACACGTCTGTTTTGATGCAGACAATCCAATTATTATGGATTTTTTTAGTAGTAGTAAGTAATAAGTAAGTTATTTAAACTGCAACATTTTGCTTACTGTGTCACATTTGCCTTTTAATTAAAAAACAGTTAATCATGATTTGATTATGAAACATGACACACCACCATGCCAAATTGAAAACTTTTAACTGGAAAGACTCTTCTGGTTTTAAATTATGTCATTCTGTCACATGCAGTTAAGCAAAAAGCTTCATTAACAATGAAAAAAACTGCTGCCTGTCATACTGTTCAGCATCTTCAAACACTGGGATGCCGGTAGCTGTGTCACACTGCGGCAGGCGTTGACTCTGCCTTAATTGTATTTACAGCTTACTTGGAGAGATTCAATTAGCTTTCGTCTGCTCCACTCATTTTCTCAGAGAATCCACTAACTGAACACAGCCGCACCGCCGCCGACGACAACAGTAAAAACCACTCATTTGAGCTTTAAACACACTGTTATTACGCTCAAAGTAAAAAGGCCGTGGCAGTCGTATCATAAACTATAATGTTGATTTCTGGCTCTGTGATTACGTTGTTGAAGTTTTCATCCTAAAGGCCAGAGGATGAAGTTTGAAACAAACGAGCGGCTGGATTCTCCACCACTGGATGTTCTTTATTCATCTGAAGTTTCTGGCTCCGCTGCACCAGTGGTCACTGGCAGCAGATCAAAGCTCAAAAATACACAAGATAGTTTTCCAAATTTCAAGTAAAGTCGATGGAGCTCATGGAGATCCACACAGGTGGCATTTGTTCTATTAAGAAATAAGATATTAAGATATTGAACATCTTTTTCCCCACCTTTTGAGTTCTGTCACCTGTGTTTTTTTGTTCCAAAATCTTGTTTCCTTGTGAAAAGATTGGAGTTGGTTTTAGAAAGTCATTATTTCTAACAGAGCAGTGATGTCACTCCTCTCACTGAATCTTTCTGCTCATAACAGTCAGAAAAAAACTACAGTAAAATCTTTAGTTCAAGTTCAAGTTCATTGTACAATCACATGACTTGGTCCAGAGCAGGTTAGGGTGACAAAGCCTCTGATATGGACCATACCAGACATGAGTAATTTTTTTTGTAATACAGTCAACGGGCTGTTACATCTAAGAGTGCATAGTCAGCGCGGCCATATCTGTTGTTTTAGTCTTACTCAGAGGAGCTACATTGGTGGGAGTTGAGTCGCCAACTGAGTCACTAACTCTGTGTTTACCTCCTCAGGTTGAAGGTGTACGTGCAGTTTCCCTTTGATCACCTCAAAGTCTTCATGAAGGTGGAGGGAAGGAAGGCAAACTCTCTGAGGTGAGGCAGTCTACAGCAGTGCTGTTCTACCTTTGGGTCGCAACCCCATATGGGGTCATCTGCAATATTTAGTAATGAAAATAAAAAATTCTGATGACACTTGATTTGATGGCTGTGATCATGGGACAGATGAAGTTTTATAAATTAGCTGTCGTTATATTCTCAGGTTGTGTGTATAGTATTTAAAAATAAAAGTCAAAGACAGAGGAGCTACAGGTGGTACATTGCAGTTAGCAATATGTTCTGCAGTGCTCACCACAGATGTCAGAGTCTGCAGTTTAGAAATGATTGCATAATTGACATTATCGGAAGCATCGACGAACTTTCCTCAGACTCGTTACTCATATTAGGATCATTTTATTGTGACGCACTTATTTCCTTTGACGTTGTTAAAACAGTGAATCAAACAGGTGGAAAAGAATGTCTTGACTGTCTCGTCACGCCTGTGTCTGTGAGTAATACACTTCACTCTAAGCTTACAGTAAAATCTGAATGGCTGTGTGTGGGTTCGCAGAGAGGTTGAGTTGAACATAATAACATCATTCAGCGATTTTTTTTTTTTTTTGCCAACCACGTTGACAATAAATAAATGGACTGTAGAAACAGATTGAGACTTAATGAAAACTTAATAAGTACACAATAAGGCAAGAAATCAGCAACTTACAAGAAATGATGTTTAATTTGAGTTTTAATTTTGCACAATTTAATTTTCTTCAATTCCTTATTTCTTTTTCCAGATTTGGTTCCAAAATATATGTTTCAAACTGAGTAAGAAAACCAGTTGTTGTTTAGAGATATTGAGAAATGATATCACAGTGATTTTTTTGCTCATTTGTTCTTGATAAAACTTGAATACATGACTCAAAATCAACAAATCAATAAGAACTCTCCCTGGATCCCAGCTCTTCATCAGACCTGTTGTTAAGGGCAGGATTGAGTCATTTTTTTAATTGGCCTTGTCCAAACAAGCGCAAAGTAGATCAACTATTCCTGATAATGTAAACGATAAGGAACCAAACGAGGTCAACGGTCTTCAAAAATCCACTCACTGTGGCTGAAGGCGATTGGCCAAGTCAAACAGAAAATTACGATTGTGTTGTTTGTCGTTGAACATCTACGGGAATATCAGCCCCGGTGAATAAAGAAGCTCTTGTGCTTGTATAAATATTGATGCGAGACCAGTCAGACATCCTTTTACTGGAAAGAAGACAGGCCGAGCCTCAAGAGGAGCATTCATACGCTTCCAAATGCTGTTTGTGTTTTTTTATGTTAATGTCACCCTCTGAAATTCACAGTGCACCGTCGCCTTTTTGACCCTTCTTTTCCTCTCGGAGCAGTCGTGCTGTGTCAGATCTGCAGATGCTCGTTAGAACCGTGAACCCAGAAAAAGAACACTTCTCTTTATTTAGTGTTTGTTCGCGCCTCGCAGACCAAACATTGCCTTATTTTCCATATTTGTGGCAGACTCTCTGACCTTGTTTATGTGCTCAGCCTTAGCTTTTTTAAGAACACTACTGTGTATCCAAATGTATTTTTACAGAGCAGATACTTCTGTGCTGCTCCTGAAACACTGAGCATTTAAAAAAAATCCAGGCCCAAAAAGATATTATAATACTGCCAAACATGAATGGTTACTATTAATTTGTGATAATATTTGAATCTATAGAAATGTGTTGTTGCTTAAGTAGATTTGAAAAATTATATATATATATATAGAGAGAGAGAGAGTAAACATCTTGTATTGGTTATATTTGTGCTTTGGATGAAATCTCTTTTGTATATTTTGGGCTATACTTGACATATAATTCCCAGTAGTCAGGACAAAAGTATCTGAGGATTTAATTTTGGAGAATACTGAAGAATGAAGGGAGAATAAAATGAATGGAAAGGTCCCAGATTTCTTTCTTCTCCTGTGTCAGGACTGGGCCATGAATAGACAGCACTGTCCTCTATTATGTAAACTATTGTCTCTTCTCTTCATTCACTGCTGCTCTCTATAAAGACCAGATGTGCACAAGTGTTCAGTCAGTGTTGATCATTGTCTCTTACAGCACTTTGAATTCACTTCCATCTCCGTTTTCACACTCTTGTCCGAATGTTTTAAATTGTCAAACCAAAACGATGACAACAGTGTTTAGACTGTGTTCGGTGCGAATTGACTTTGCTGCTAATGTCGTCTCCACCTTTATGTTGTGTTTGTTCTTTCCTGATGTGATGTCCTTCCTGTAAAGAGTTGTTGGTGCTACATGAAACCAAAAGTACTGTATTTGCCCTGGGAACTGGGAAACCGGGGTAGTTCACAGCTCTGCATGTGCAAATTTTGAAACTAAAACATGTCAATCAATTTCTGTGGTGTTCTTGTAGGAGGTGTACAGCACCACAGCTTGGTGGGTGCTCACCACAGATGTCAGATGAATCAATTCAACCCGTTGATATAGATACTTGGTTCTGTCGTGGTGACATGTCTTTGGCCTAACATCCTGTCTTTGTTGTGGTCAGATACCATGAACTGGACCTGAAGAAGAGCCTGAGGGACAACCTGAGCTACAAAATCCTGATTGAGTATCCTGTTCTGCATGTTGTACTGAAGGAACACTGGAAGGACTTCCCACAGAGAGGACCAGGTAAAAAAAAAAAAAACAACAACTTCTACTGCAGTGTAATAATCTACCACGTACTGTATCACATCTTCATTACTGTAAACCGTTTCCCCCCGGAGTCAACCCTTCGGTCCTGAGCTACTCTGCTCACTTACTTAACCAAGTTTGGATTTATGAGTCTGTAGTCCCAGATGACCAGCCCCTCTCGTCTCTCCCCTCTCCGCTGTCCCCTCCTCTACCGATTCCAACATCATTGTATCATGTCCCGGGTTTTCCAGCTGAGACTTTAAAGACTCCTTGTTCCTGTATTTTTCACTATGGCAACATCCTACCACAACGGAAATGAGTGTGCTCTGCACAGCATCAGGAACACCGCGTGAACCTCAACAGTCACCAAGGCTAAAAAAAAAAAAAAAAAAGACACAGCTTAGCATTAAAAGACTGACTTCATGACAGAGTGGAATGACAGGAGAGGGGATGTTTACTCTCACCTGTTTGTCTGCGTCCTCCCTCCGGTGCTGTGTGTTTATATCATTACACAGCGTGGCCGTGCAGTTGTGTCACAGCGGTCTCTTTGTAACCACAGTGACACAGTATCATTACACTGTCAGCGCCAGATGAGCTGAGTGACCAATAAAAGTCATTTTTAGACACTGTGTGTTTTCAGTGATAAGGCCTTAGTGACTCTGTCTCTGTTGACAACACAAACAATCAGCCAGTAGGACACTCCAGTATAATCCAGAACTGTTTGAACTAGGCTCACACTCTAATGGGGTTAGCTCATGCTTTTTAAAAATACTACTTTGTGTTTGTGTGTGGGCTAATAACTCCAACCACCACCAGATGTTACACGTAGTGCCTTTAAATATATTAAATACTATAATAATTCATTATGATATTTATTTATAAAACCAGTTCACAATTTATCTGTAGCCATGGGAAAATTCTGCATGAATGTAGGTCACTGATCATCAACTGACGGCTTGCAGGCCAAATCCAGCACGCCGAGCCATCCAATCTGGCTCGCAACTAGGTTCCAAAATTCAGAGGTTCACAGGGAGAATATCAAAAATTCAACAAGCAAGACATTAATAACTACATGTAATAATTTGGGTCATATTTAGTAATGTTCATGAAGCTTGATTATTCATGATTAATCTACAGCTACTTCGGGATTAATCAGATTAAATCAATTTATTATTGCAGCAATAGTCAAAATACATATTAAAAAATTACAATTGTGCATTCGCTCCAGAGCAGCTACACCTGACCGGGTGTGAAATGAGCCGATGTTTGTCGGCAGTTTTCTTGTTATCTGAACACCAAATGCTTCTTAAAAGAACCAAACTTGACTTGAAAGCGGTCACAAGAGGCAACCTTCAAAAAAAATGGAGACATTCCAGAGAGTCTAAAGATGCACATGTTTGCTTAGATACACCACAAAGTAACGTCAGAGATATCACACAAGCATCCAGTCAGATGTTATCTGCTTCACATGACTGCTTTGATCCTGGGAAAATATTGTCCTACAAAAAGAAAATACAAAATTCTAAAATGTTCTGCTTCGGGCTCACGTTACGTAGATCTAGAGAACTTAGAGTGAGCGTCTGGTCTCCACTGTCCACATGTGAACCCTTCCAGTCCCATCTGCACACAAACACATTAATATACTCCTGCGAATCAGACCATGAAAACACAACAGACAAAAGTTGGAAAGGGTTTGTCAACCGGGATCAAAAGCAGATCGGGATTTTTAATTTACGGCCACTTGACGATGAGAACGACCCTAAATTTATGTGATGCAGCACCGTCTTAATTATGTAACGGTCGATGTCAAAGACATGTGGTGTGGCTTTGCCGTTCCGTCATATTCCAGCACAAAGGAGAAAAGTCACTTCCATTATCCTTTATTCTTTTCATTTCAGCCCATGCACTGTCTGAGGTTTTAGAGTAAATTGCAACAATACATGAGATCAAGAGCCTGGTCGCATATGTTCTGTGATTTACTGGACTGTAGGGACATTACATGTGGGGAAAACTCACTCATAATTCACACTTATTGTTTTTACAGTCAATTGCTCTACGGCCATTTCACACACACACATGTCCGCCCTGTTTAGTTGCATAACCAACTGCTCGACATGTGAACCTCATCGTGGAAATAAGCACGTAGCCAAATCATAGCGTCATGGTTCCCAGACGGCCCTCGCCGACCTCCTCCGTCACCTCCAACAGCATCTAAACATTTTCAGCATGATCGCATTTGCATGTTGGAGTTCAAACACTGTTGCAACGGCCTTGTTCAATCACCGTGTACACAAACGATGTCATATCTTTCACAGCTGATGCTACGTCAGCGCGAAAGGATGTGGCAGTGGACGGAAAGACGGTGGACGCCACCCGGAGTTCACCTTGCCAACAGCAGGAAACACCGGTACCCAACATCTGGACAGAAACCCCGAAGACAAAGAGCAGCCCAGAAGTTGAACCACCGCAGAAGAAAAGAGCTAAAACTGAGTCCCAGGGAGAGGAGATAGAAGAGGGAGAGATCTCAGACAGCAGTGATGAAGATGAAGATGGAAATGAGGAAAAAACTACCGGCGGTGATGATGAAATCTCTGCTGATAAAAAGACTAAAGATGAAGAAGGAGTGGTTGTGGAAATGAAACCTGAGCAGAGTCAGTAGAGCCACAGGCTAAAGGAGCAGAGTTGACGCCCACATGCAGCCCTGCTGACTGTATGTAGAATCATGGAGTACCTGGTGTTTTTACCTGTTGACGTCTCATTTGTTAATTTACTAAGTATCGCAGTCTTTGTTTACTTTTGTTTCAAAAATCATTTCACTATTATTTGATTATCATGCAGGTAAAGGCAGTACATTACTGTCTAATAAAGACCTTTTTGCGAATATAGGGTTAATACTTTTTGTGTTTGATGAAGTGTTGAACTGTATCCATTCATTATTTGAAACCCAACCTAAAGAAGTATTAGTATTTGTACTCTGTATCAGTAAGTACACAAATGAAAGTACATGTACTTAAAACATGGTATCAAGACATGATAAATGAAACATTAAGCAGATGCTGTTTAATACTTCTTTTTTTTTTTTTATAAAAATCCCAGGTCGGCCAAAGACCACTGTACATGTCTCCGTAATGTAATGATGTCATGCACCTCCCCAGCCCCCCCGACTGTTTGTGTAATTGAAATGTAAGTGAAAACAGCCTGACGCTGTTCCCCGATCACCTCTGAGTCTCTTCAACGTGAACATTACTCTCAGTTTTCCATCGGCTCTGAACGCCTCATGTTGACACGTTCGTACTTCTGACACCTCTGGGTGTTTGCCCGTGTGAATGTTTTTACGCATGTGGCGCCTCCACACGCCGACGTCGTCTCATGTCGGGTTTATTGCGACAACGAGGTGCCAGTAGTAACTGACGGTCAGACCTGTTGGTGAGGCCGGTGTTTGTAGATGTGTTGTTCTAACCTCTGCTAACCTCGGTTGGAAGCTAACCCCTCCGGACGGGCGTCTCTTTGATGTCCACGCCGTCATGGCCGATGACGTGTTTTTCCAACCCCTCTGCAGTCAAGAGCGGTGATCTCACATGTGAGGGTGCATCCCTCAGTGATGGACGATGCACAGACCCTCACTCATTAACTTTGAGGAGTGCTAGTTTTCTTTTTTTTTAAGTCGTCTTTACACTGGACGATGTTCATTAAGTCTCTGACTCCAGACCTTTTACAGTAAACATTGAGTTTAATGTCACTTATTGTTTTTATTTTTGCCATCCTAAAACGCTAAACGAGGACTCTGATACCTGTCGACCAGTCATCGAGGTGAGGAACAAAAAATCCCACCACACCACTGGAAAAAATATCTCTAAACAGGCCGTTCTTTTAGATATCTTCTATAAAAATCACGTGGATAAGCAGATTTCTAAGAAACTATTCTCGTCTTTCCTGTCGGTTTTTCTTTATCCCCATTTAAATACTGGAGCCATTTGTGGTAAAGAGTAACTGGTCTGAACCTAAATAGTTCTTTTCTGGCCTTGATGGCCTCTCTGTGCACTCCACACCTCGTTCAATTCACAACCGCTATTTGTTGACTTATTCAAGTGCAACTAAGGTGTAATGAATGTGGAGTTTGACCAGAATATTTATTGAAGCCGACCCAGGTGGGCTAGGGTACACCAAGTCCCCAGCACTAGTCCTAAATACAGCCCTAAACCATTACAGAGCCTTTCTAATGCTGTACAGAAGCTTCCAAATCAAACCATCTTTTTTCCTGAGATACTGACACCTTCACAACAGACCAGAGCTTGTTACCCCAGGATAGTCCGCTTTCTTTGGCCAAAGCTCATGTTAACTCTGGTGTGGACTGTACAGAGAACTTCTGGTTCACCTGAAAACGTGGTTCTCAGTGGTTCTGTGTGCAAGTGAAACCTGGCATGGTTCACTTTTTTTTTTCTTTTTTTTCTGGTTTCCTGTACTTATCCATTAAATACAGATTATGATAGCTTACCTGCTACAGTGCCAACCAGTGGTCACATCAAGCACTACAAATGTGAATGCATTTTCAGTTTTTAGATTTCATCTTCCTTATTCATGCAGTCTCTTCTTTATAGTACGGGGTGTTTGTTTGAGCTCATCTTGATGTCCACAACCTCTGAAGACGGTTCCCAGGGTAATTGTTTAGACTTTGTAGCGGCGGCTCCATCAAAACTCCCCGTGCGTGCGCTGCCGCACGGGTGCAGTCAGTGCTGCCTGCACGTCCCTAGTTTTATTTAGAAACCATGAAACATCAAGTGGTTCACAGCGTGAAGTCATTTTGTGAAGTCAGCTTCTGTATCTGCCCTCTGGGTTTTATCACCGCCCATTTTATTTCACTCGCTCGCCTTAATTTTCAATCTCAGTAAAGTTATTCTACGTGACCACACAAAGGCTTAGCACTACTTACCGTTTGCTCTTAAAAGTAATTCTCAGCTATATTTAGTTTTCAGAGAACACAGGCCTCGGAAAATAATGCCTTCAATTTGACTAAATTGGCCTTTGAAACGTCTACGTTGGTTTGCACTTAACTGGTCTTGATTTAGCCTCGATTGAGCGCTGCGTGCAGAGCTGGGTTTTATGAGACCAGCTGCTGCAGTGGTGGCCTGGGTCAGAACCTTTAATAAACATACTCTGGGTCCTCCCAAAATCTTCATTGTTGAGCTCATGTGGATGTTATATAATCTGGGGAGGATTATTTTGTAATCCCACCGATTTTCTTTGTTCAACGGAGACATTGTAAGGACATTTTCTAATATTTTTATATAAGATCTTTAGGAAGTTCTGAAACCCAAAAAAGGCCATCTTCATCATGTCTTTTGAACAAGTGGTATAAAAGTACAAAAGGCATTTTGTTTCAGGGGCAACAAGTTTCAAAACTTTTACAATTCATCAAGTGGTCCAGATTGAATCCCCTAGTGGACCCGTTTTGGCCCGTGGGCCTTATGTTTGACACCCCTGTTTTAAGGGATTTCTCAAGGGTGAATTTTACATTTAAGTTCAGGTCTCAAACTCTAATGAGCTGGGGTCCACTGGTGTCCCCGACAGCAGGGGGTCGTTTGCAGGCCAGTGTGGCTGGGTTTTTATAGCCTTAGACGTTTTCTCTCCTCTTCCTCTCACCTGATGAGATAGAGATGCTGTGCCACAGACGGCACACTGATCCAGAGCGGAGGCGAAAAGCTGCACAGACCTGGGTTTGTTTAAAGTTGTCATCCTGTCTGAATAAACAGACCTCACAGAGCCACGTTTTAACACAAACATATATTGTCCCCTGTGTCACCTCGGAGTCCGTCTTATTAAGATGTTTGGAGGAAGTGATTCACTTCTTCCTCTTTATCTGCCTTGTGTCTGGGTGACTCTCTGCAGCAGGCATGTGTAAACTCCAGCCTGGAGAACAGTGATGGCACTTGGAGCGGTTCTTCATGGCCTGTGACTTTTTAAAACTTTCCTTGGCCCACAGTCAGGACACAGAGTTATCTTTAAATAAGCCTTTTGTTCCTGGCTGAGTGTGTTTTTAGGATAATTGGAACTGTCCGCAGGTCAATGTTGTCCAGTGTAAAGTACCTACTTCAGGATGTTTGTCCCATGTTTGACCTACCTAATGGATAGCTTCTAGTTAATTCTAGTTTTGTTTATGTCAACAGTGATTTTCCTTCAAGTATTTTTTTCTATTTTTGCTAGCGTAGTATGTTTCTCCAAGTTGAACTTATCTTTTTTTGAATATTAGTCCACTATTTTGGATAAGATACTTAGCTAATTTTGCGATACCTTTTGTGGTACCTAAGCTAATTCTGGGCTACATTTTTGGGCACATACTGTATATTTACAGTATATGTATATATATATATATATATACAGTATATGTCCAAACAGCTGTCCCTCCAACATATCATCACACCATGTGAAGTATTACCGGACCAGTCGTTTGCTCTGCTCTGACTTAATAACCACAGCCGGCTGATTGTTTGTTTCATGCTTTATCATCAGCCTCCAGTTGTCATAGTGACACAGTGTTACAGGACCTGCTTTGTTTTCTGTTGACTACTGACTGTTGGCTCATTCAGCTGTGGTTATAAAATGACAGAGAACTTTAGTCTGTGGTTAGACCCCCCCCCTCTCCCCCTCCATGACTGTGTAGGACATGGGAGTAATTTTGTTGGAAATGTTTATTTGTCTATTTATTATTACATGGTCAGCAGTGATTTGAAAACTAGGACCTTGTTGGTTTGGGGTCAGTGCTCTGGGGTCAGCTGGAGACCTCTCTTATGGGTCACATGTTGTAAGCTCTCAGGCAACTACTTCTTTCCTTTACTTTCAGCCTTCGTGTGTTTACCTAATTGTGGTTTGGGGCGAAGGAGGCCGTCGGGCAGCGGTCCTACAGTCAGTCATAGTTGCCACTCATTAGTATCACTTCCCCACCGCAGCCATTGTCGGTCGTGCAGATCAAACAAGACGCAGGAGAAATCAGATGTTGTGTTACAGGGGGAACGTGGTGACAGTATAATGACTCTGGCCTTACCCGCTCTTATCCCCTCAGAAAAGTGGAAACCAGGCAGCAATTATCAGTCAGGAACCAGACAAAACAGTCGGAAAATACATCACTCCTGTCAGTCCATTTTCCATAGGAGCATGGCTGTGAAGGAGGCCCGGGGCTGCTTAAGTTGTCAAAGGACAACTTCATGAATTTTCTGAATATTATGGTGTGAATTTAAAATCATTTGTATAATCTGCTGCAGAGGAATCCACGGTGATTCCAAGACTCTCTCGTGAATACGTGTTTTTCTGGCTTCTTCCCACAGTCAGAAATCATTCCTTTTGTTTTAGCCTAAACTTTGACCTGAGGTATGAATGGGAGCACAGATAGATATGTTATTAAAGTCCACGTGGGAACTAGTAGCAGCATGATGGAACAGGACTTTCTTAATAGAATTATGGGAGATGGACCTGTACTACCAGTCTCATGTGTGTTACCATAACATAGCAGTTAGCACACCTGCCTTGTAAGCAGAGAGTCCTGGGTTTGATTCCCAGAGGATCCACATATACCCACCTATACCTATTTTGACCCCCGTGTGGCAGTCTGTGTCAGTATATTTCTCCAATCTGGTTAGACTAGACTTAATCACTAATTAATTATGATCAATTCCAATACCAGCACTGGTTTCACTGCATCCCTTAAATTACAGTGGACTTTTTGTTATCGTTAGAGATTTGTTTTGTGGCGTGTTTCACTGCATCCCTTAAATTACAGTGAACTTTTTGTTTTCATTAGAGATTTGTTTTGTGGCGCTTTCCAGGCCATGTCTCTGTCATTGGTGTGGAACCCCAGGCTTCACCTCCTGGGCAGGATCGAATCCCGGTTAGGGCGGTTGGTACCTTCCAGTGGACTCACCACCTGCAGGAAGGTTCAAGGGTGTTGGTACGGTGCAGTGTGATTTGGGTAGAGGTGATGGAGACTGCCGCCCCCGTGACCTGGTAACGGATAAGTGCATGAAAATGGATGGAGATTTGATTTAATCATGTTATTACTTCAGTATAACACAACAAACTGGGGCAACAAATAACAATTATGCCCATGGCGCTCTACACTCTGCGGCAGTGGCATATTGTAACATACTGTGGAGAATCTCTTGAGAAAACCACGTCAGCACCAGTTTCTGACGCTGTGACCTCATTTATCTGCCAGTGTCAAAGAACAGCAGGAGCCTGGACGCCAACAGTAGCTCAGACGTTGATGCTTCAGTCCAACAGTGTCAGTGCATGAGTCTGAGGTTGAACACACACTCCATGACTGCTGCGGTGCAGCCTCTCCCATCAATGACAAGCTTGTTTGTGTAAATACACCCTGCAGGAGCCAGCGGCCCTGTGGGAAAATACTGGACAATCCAACCCAGACTGGGTTGGAATTTTTTATTTTTTTTTCTCATGTGATTGCTCCATAAGCCTGTTCATCCGTTGTGCTTATGTCATGTTCAGATGGGGATGTGATGGGTGTGTCGGGAGTCTTGAATTGCTGTCATTGTGAGGCCCCACACCCTGTCAGGACTTGGCAAAGGTCTGTAATGTACATCACTGAGCCAAAGTGGGACATGAACACTTCTTATATTCATGTGTTAAATATGAAGAAGTACAATGTAGACTGTCATACGATATATACAATATTTAATATAGTAGAATATGGAATAACTCTCCTACAGCTAGAAATGTATAGTTTGGATTTTTCATGAATTAACAATAATTATTGTGAACTTTCCATACAAAAATAGAAACATTTTTATCAATATAGTAATTTTGAAACTTGTATAATATTCCGGTCAAAATAATGTACAGATGGCACTGACCGACCACATCGACCTCATCATCAACTCATCAATGGCCAATAGCAATCGGTTGCTACTTTTTGTACTTCTTAGGTCAGTAGGTCACTTTTTAGGTCAGTAAACGCAGCATTACCTTATATTTAATTTAATATAAAACAGTTTCATCTCAACCTATCGCAGGTGAGTCTCAACCAATATCATCTAACACTTGCTTTTACCTTCTTTGTCCAGCAGGTGGTGCCTGGTAAAGCCAGTAGGAGCCTCTGTGCTGCAGTAGCTTGTGGCTTGTTTCAAACGTTGCTCCTTGAGGATCAACCTGAGGTTTCCGTCGTAGAGCAGCTGACATCAGTGTGTTCTGACGGTCTCTCTGTCTCGTTAGGTTTCACAGACTCACGCGGAGCCTGATGAAGATTTAATGCTAATGTGTTTGTCAAATACACATACTTCAGTCTCCGGGGAATTAGGCAGTCGCTGAGTGATTTAATTGCAGGGGCGCCTGCGTGTGAGAGTCTTGTTTGCTCGAGTGTCTGAGAGTTGCACCGTTTTTTTTACAGGTCGGTTCTGCGTTGGCAGCGGCACCACGGTTTATTTCACTCAGTAAACATAATCCCAGGGTCTCGGAGTCGGTTCGGGCCTCGGGGACCGTCGACCTCACCTCAGTGCATTATGGTGGAATGCCACGGATGACCGCCAAGGACCGCTCGCATCATGCACAGCTGCCGTTGCATAATCACATTAGCTGTTAACGAAGACGAACGTCAGCCCGACTG